TAGACATTTTTTCCAGTGTGAGGGGCACACATGGCTAGACCTCTTCACTGCAAAAATGATCTAGAAATAAGAAAAAAACTCTTCAATAAATTGTATTTACCCTTAATTTGAACATTTTAATTAGATCACTTGCCAATGGAATTAGTATTTTACTATTAAAAAAAGGTAAATTGATAATATGCACTTGAAATAAGAAAATGCAATCGTTTTTTCTTGCTTTGAATGTAAAGTATCTCACTAACCTCCTAAATTCAACAAAAAATGCATTTATTTTAAGAAAAAATGACTTATTGAGATTTAATTTTTTTTGCAGTGTTGTCCTGATTCACTTATCTGACACTATAAATACAGACTCTTTATCATCCTTGGAGTCTAATCTTTTTGCTTTCTGTCACTTTGAAGCCTTTTGTTTCCAGTATTCCCAATACTTGTTTTAACTTGCAAACCAATTTCTTTCTAGTGGTGTAAATTCTTACATTACTGTACTGGTAAACATTTTTGCTAGGCTTAGTTTTTCCGGATGGGATATTGTTTTTATTTTTATTTCTCTTTTTATCATCATAAATTGTCCTTATGATCCTTTTAACAATTTTTTTAAATAGCAACTTAGACTGAATCAAGTTTTATAATTTCACACATTTTCAATGTTGTTTTGTTGAACTGAAGCAGGCTAATATATTACAGCATATTACTTAAAGTAACCACTTTCCCAACAGCAAGATATGTGTTTGCTGACACTGTAGTTTCAGAAATGAAAAGAGTCAGACTGTGTCAGCTTGTGTTTGTTAGTGTTTTATCATCTGAAACATATTAAATCTACAGTCTTATTTGTCCTGTTATCAGAGTTTTAGGTGTTGCTAATCCTTTCCATCATTGGAAAGACAATAACAAGACCATAGCACATAATTTATTAAAAGTTTGCCTTTTAATGGTCTTCTAATTTTCTATTAAACAGAATTTGAGGTTTTCCTTTGTTTTAAGTCATAATCAATAAACCTAACACAAGTAAATAGTTGTTCATTGACATGTGCAATTAAGAAATATAATGGATCATTGTCACTTTTTCAATTGCCTTACTGAAACAAATGACCTTTTAAATTATTTAATCAGATGCTCCTGCATACAGCTACTCCTTTGATAAGCAAGTTTTAGTAAAAATCTGCATGGCATTTTTTGAATTCCTGCTAAATGTGGTCATGTGGCCGTGAAATACAGCTATTGTCTAAAGACCTTGTAGTTTTAAAAACAGTCATTGTGATCATCAGTGAACATATCCATTTTAATTAGACAAATATAAATGGAAAATGACACGATTCACATTAATGAAGGGCTGTGACCTTGTCAAAAAAGAGGCTAGATGGCTTAAGCCATCATATTTAAATCAGTAAACATAATTTTAGTGCAACAACACTTTTCATATGCAATGTTTTTTTGTTTTTAAAGTAGGGACAAAAAAAATTTATTTGGACTGCTAAAAAAAATGTATTACTATTTTAAATTATTGTACTATTGTTTACCAACTGAGTTTTGTTACTATTCAAGTTACTTCTTTCTTCAGGATCCCATCTTTTTCTTGAACCAATGGTTTATTTTTGGCTCATGCATCTGATGTAAACAAAACGCATTGAAACAGGCATTTGATTCCCTAACCTTGGGAGAGTTTTGGTTGTTTGCATCTAAAATAATAAACTAAGGGAATTACTGGAAGGATAGAGGTGGAAGGGGGGAGCTGTGGGAGTGTTTTCTACCAGATATCAGATGCTGATGTCTCCATGCAGCAGGACACTGGGAACCAGCTTGGGTATAAAAATACTGTGGATATTGCATCCTGTAAATTCCCAGAGTAAAGCTGCAGTTTCCTGCTGCTGACATTAGAGGTCAGAGGTCGGTGTCAAGGCAGCAGCACAGCACTGAGCTTTTGTGTTGAATCGAATGCAGACAGATGGGACAACATGGTTCATTAGAGAGCAGATCTCTGGAGCTGCTGCCCTGAGCTCACTAAATGTCTCTAATTGCTATGGTCAGCTACAAACTTTGTAAACAGTGGCCACAGCCGGCTTCTAGTCACAGACAGGATTACTGCCCTCTCTGGCTTTAATTAGATGCACTCACAGAGCAAATGAGCACTACAGAGACAGACACCACACTAGAGGTCTTGTTGAGATAAATACGTGACTTCAACAGTCTGGAGAGGGGGGATCACTAACCTGGATCGTGAGGGGATCCAAGGGTTTTGCAAATCTCCAGCACCAAAAGAAGCGCGACGAGGACTTGAATGGGAGACGCTCTTTGTCCCGCAGCATGGAGCCCCCACTGTGAACGGATCATTTTGTCAGGACGTGTACCTGTGCGTTAGAAACATGAATTTTATTTCTAACACCTCCAGGGCGGTTAATTTAGATTGAGTCCATCAGAGTTAGATGCGCGCGTCGCTTGGCTTGGACCGTGCGCTCCAGCTGTCACAGTCCTAAGAAAGGTCTCCCATACAGCCCTGATCATCATTTGAGCCCACTGCTTCTGGGTGCAATCTAACTCTGACTACTCTAATGTCTGCCTGGTCCTCCTGTCCTCCATCAGTCTCCCCCCGACGACCAGTGACAGCTTGAAAACTTTTTTCCTCAGCAAACTTCTACAGAGCCACCCCCACAGATGGGAGGACTTTCAGACAATAGGCTGACTCTTCAAGGACCGAGCACAGGCTTAAAGGGGAATGGCTGCACCAAGAAATCGGATACAGTCAAACAACCCAGTTGCATGCAAACTACACCCTGGAAGGCTGAGGTCTGCCGGGTTCTCAGTGGGTCAGATGAGGACCCGTTCAGGCCCTGATGCATTCACTTAAAATCGGAGAAAATATTCTACACTTTGTGGACGATCAACTACGGAAGAGGATTAGGGCCACTGAAAAAATTTAAAAAGTTAACAGATTTTTTTTAACTATATTTCTGACTTTTTACTCAGAGAATTATTCATAGCTTACATTTATGTGAAAGAGTCAATAAATGTGTCAATCATTCAGATACACTTACTTATTTATAATGGTAACTAATTCTTCAAAATTTGTTTCCCATTTTTATAACAATTTTAATTAAAGCCTATTCTGATGATCATGTTGTGATCATCACAAACCCAGGCAATCTGCATTTGAAATGGTTTTGGGTCCATTATGGTTGACTAAATACTACCTGCATATTTTATCATTAGGTTGAATTATTTGTGTTTTTGCTGGTCAGTTGGGCAGCCCTACCTCAGCCAAAAAAACATAGCTACCATCACCAGGTATATAGATTATATAATAGAAATGACTCCCTTTTATTACAATTATACATGTTACAATGTTGCTATTGGTATGCAGGCGCTTATTTTTTATTGACCAAAATTAATTCTTGAGATACTCTGAAAATACTGAACAATATAGACCCCTGAGGTCCTCAAAGATTTGTTCCTTTGATCAGAAAAAAAAAAACAATATTAGGCAACATTATTTTTTGTCCTTCTCGGGGCTGAACCAAACTTCTGAACAAAATTCTGTAGAAAAGTTTCCGCTCAGTTAATTGAGATCTTACATATTATTAGTTTACTGAGGCTTGTTGTCAGAAACTTACCAAGAAAATGCTTGACAGATCACTGGTAAGTGTGAAAGGGGAGATGTAGGATTATATTTGTATTCTAACATAGTGTTATTTTTTCACGTGAAGGTTCTCAGTCATCTAGGTCATAGTCATTCCAAAAAAGTAAAAATAAATAAATAAATAAATCCACTGGACTTTGTTTTCCACGTTTGAAGACCTTTCACTTCCCATCCAAGACGCTTTTTCAATTCAAAATGTAAAAATATCATTGAGTACGAGATTTTATACAGTAGCCCATCAAAACCTTGATTTTGTTTAGAAAACATGCAAATTTAAAGAAGGCAGTGAAGAAGGAGGAGTTGCTCTGCAGCTTGGCTGGAAGGTGGAATATGGACTATGATGGAGTCAGCTTAGAAAGGAGAATCTTGGTTGCTATTGGCTGCTGGGTGACTTAAGCAACAGAAATAGCTTCCCAGGGCTAGATGTGAAGGATGTGATAGTTGGGATATAAAATAATGTTTTCCAGAATCAAAATAAGCATAGGCTCAATTTTTGCACAGAGATCTTGATTATAACACAAATAAAACATTTATGAAAAACAGTTTAATGATATCACTTTCATTTATAAATGTAAAACTATACCATTTATCAAATGATATAAAAATAAAGCCTGTTTAAAATCAACAAATTGAAAGAGAACTGAGATTCATTTTAGATGACATGGGAAAACTTGTTTTTGATGGGTTTTTTTTCCAGATTTCTTTTGCTTGGTGTCACACCTGTTTTATCAGTACTTAGATGTTCATACAAATGTTAAGGCAGTTAATGAGTTATTTTTAAATTCACCATTCATTGCAGATAGATGGCAGATAGCTCTCCAAACCGTGCAAGGGAAAAAATATCTCAAAAACCAACAAATCAAGGATCATCAGAAGATATTTTTTTTTTTTTCAAAAAGAGAAAAATACTCTGGCAACTCATGGTCTCTAAAGGGTTGCAAGGCCTAAATAGAGGAGACAATTACAGATTTATTTAGGTGTGCGTTCTTTGACAATTGGTCGAAAATTATTATTATTTTAAACTATATTGAAGAGAAAAATTCTTACACTTACAAAAAAAAAAAAAAAAAGACTAATTTATTTTCACAAAAATCTGATGGACGATACTGTGTGGCAAATTAATATAGAGTCAGATCTGGAGTTTTGTTTTTTTTTTCTCTAGAGGATTGAAATTACATGTTAAAAACTGAATTTTGTATACAATAGGCTAATATTTGTCTTTCATCTGAAATATTAAGTTGTAGCAGAAAGCAAAACCAGATCTTTGCAAAGGGGACACTAAATACTAAGATTAGCGCCCCCTCTTGCGGAGTAAAAATGACACTAGGATAACATCAGACTAAATGTTCTTCATGCAATTGTTGTGCATGCATAGTGACAGAAACTCTTAGACATTTTTCACTTAGCACTTTAATAGATGCTGCTGCTGACAGAGCAGAGGTGCCGCGCAGAGCCGTGCGTGCGCCAGCAGAAACAGGATCAAAAGAGTGTCGTCTACAGTAATCTCTGCGGTGTATTGCAGATGTCAGTAACAGCAAGGTTTTAGTATTTGAAATCCACTTTTTACATTCCCTTCGAATATGTGACGTTGCTTCCATCACATACTCATTTTGGCTTTTTACGCACGGCCTGCGCGCGCAGCGCATCCATATAGAGAACCTCCAAATTGTCTTAAATGGAATAATTAACATATATTTTTTTTGGTTATTCTTAACCACACCGACTTTATTCACTGACTGACGAGGCATTACAGTCATTTCTAACACGGGACAGTCTATGTCTCTCTCCTCCGGTCGACCAATCGTGGCGCAGCAGCGCAGGGACACACCTGTATAAAAGCGGATTCCAGGTCAGTTGTCAGTCAGAAGAAGGCGATGAGGATGACAGGGCGTTGAGGGAGAGCGCAGGGTCTGCCTCATCTGGATGCCTTTCAGGGCAGATGTGCGTTTTCAAAGATGGATGAAATCTTCAATCATAGCGCAGCGCTGAACCAAAGTTCCCCTGGAGATGACAAGTTCACTTTCGAGGACATCGACGTCAGCGCTGATGGCTCTCCCATCCTGAGGATATTCATCTCGGTGGTGTACTCTGTGGTGTGCGCCGTGGGCTTGGTGGGAAACCTTCTGGTGTTTTTCCTCATGAGGGTGAGACAGGGTAGAAAAAGATCAACCATAAATGTTTTCATCACCAACTTGGCAGTTACGGACTTCCAGTTCGTCCTCACGCTGCCCTTCTGGGCCGTGGACACCGCTCTGGACTTCAGCTGGCCGTTCGGAGACGCCATGTGCAAAATCGTCCTGTCAGTTACCGTCATGAACATGTACGCCAGCGTCTTCTTTCTCACGGCGATGAGCGTGACCCGCTACCTGTCCGTGGCTTCAGCCCTGAAGAAAAGGTCCTACAGAAGGTCACGGTGCGTGAAGTGGGTGTGCGCGGTGCTCTGGCTGGCCGCCACCGTGGCCACGGCTCCCACAGCTATCTTCTCCACAGTGACTGTGGTCGCTGGAGAAAAGCTTTGCCTCCTCAGGTTTCCAGAGGGACACGACTGGCTCGCTCTTTACCACATCCAGAAAATATTAATAGCCTTCATTATTCCGATGTTCATAGTTTGTATAAATTATCTGATGTTGCTTCGCTTTGTGAGACGGAAAAGCATGGACAGCAGCAACCCCAAACGTAGATCCAAAGTCACCAAATCTGTTGCTATAGTCGTTTTGTCTTTCTTCTGTTGCTGGATGCCAAATCACGCCATCACCTTCTGGGGGGTCTTGGTGAAATTTAACGCGGCCAACTGGGACACATCATATTACACAGTGCACACATACGTGTTCCCGGTCACTGTCTGCTTGGCACACACAAACAGCTGCTTGAACCCGATCCTGTATTGCCTGATGCGCCCGGAGATCAGGAAGATGCTGAGCGGCTTGTTTTGGAGAGTCTCCAGTCCCGCTAAGAGCAAAGCGTGCACGACGCGCTCCGTTACGCACGCAGAAATCCATGGAGTGGTACCTCTCCAAATCATGGACAACACGGACTACACGCTGTCCATCATAGACCGCAAAGGCTCTTCAAGTTCTAAGACGATCCCATTTACACACTGAATGCAGCATGGGCACAAAGCTGCTGTCTTTTTCTCCATCAGCTGCCATTGCTCGTGCGTAATTCAAAACAAATCAATATGCTATTTCATACCATGTGTGACAACTTAATGTGAAACCTGCTGAGCCCCTACAACTGTTTACTTGTGAATTTTCTATGAGATTCATATTTTCGTTCTAATGACAGAGTCTGGCTCACAGGATATGAGTCGGTCATTTGCACTCTGTACTCACCATTGAATATTAACTATATGATTATGTTCATTATGTCTATAATAAAGCCTGTCTATAAATAAATCGCTTTTCCATCTAAGGAAGAGGTGGCTGATGATTCTTACCAGATAATTACATTTATATATTAGCTTTCCAGTGTATGATTATGGTCATGATAATTCTAATAACAGTAAGGGTGTTTCATAATTAGCTCCCCATAAACACAAAGTGGGATGGTGTACTGTATTATTTGTGGATGTGAAATCTGTTTCTATTTTTTAAGAATCTTAACATTATTGCCCTGGCTCCAAAATGCAACTAACGATCCATATGTTTCTCTCTTCAGTTGCAGTTAGAATATATTCTTTTATTTGATAACCTAACCTGTGTTCCAATAATTAAAAGTGAGGATTTGCAAAGCAAAGTTTCTTTCCACATCACATTTAAGAAGCAAAGAAAAGTGCTGTACATGGAGAATAAAAAAAAAAAAAAAAAAGAATAGGAAAGCATGCAGAGAAATATATATATTGTGGTGGCATGAAGGTAATTAAATAACTCTTCAAAATTATAAATTGAATAAAAATGAATATTTAAAGTGATTAATATATCATATTAAATGTCTCGAACTAAAATGCTCTGTGACCAGACTAGAATGACATGCATTAGCATTTATTTGAATATTGTAAAAGGTTGCTCATTTAGAGTTGGCTGATTGAATGTGAAAATATGTACTGAGAACCAAACAATGAGAAGTGCAAAAAAAATAAGAAAAAAAGAGAAAGTTTTATGTGCAAGGCCACCATATTTCACCCTAAGGTTCTGGTTGCTGAGAGGCTTTCTTTCCTACCAAGAAAAATGACCTCTAGAGAACCTTCTGTCAATTCCTCTGACATTTCAGTGTCCTTCGACCAATCATCTGGCTAGAATAAATGAAAAATAAATCCCTCCTGCTTCTATTTAAAAAATTCAAAACCTACAAGTTGAATGTATGCTCATAAAAGTTTGGTGGTAGCTGGGAAACTTAATATTGGTATAACCTCTTATAAATTATTTCAGAATATATAATTTACAATAATATGCATTTTTATTTAAATGCAAATGTCAGCTATAATTCTCCAAGACCACATTGTGCAGATGACTGTTTAAATAATAAAAAAAGAACATAATGGAATTTTAGATAGACTACAACAATTGGAAAATGATTTTCATCTGAATAGCATGTGAGTAACCCAAAGGGGAGATAGTAGCTGATAAATATTCATCTGTCATGTTTTGGCTGCAGTAAAGACCCTCCACAGACAATTAAAGAAAACCTGCCCACTAGAAAGCCCGGAGGTAAGAGAGCCACCTGGATGCAGCTGGCTTGGACTGCAATCAGGTCTAATGTTTCCCTTCCTCCCTCCATCTTCCTTGTAACCCTTTGATTACTGGAATCGTGGTTCTTTTTGTGATTACAAAACACTGGTCAGAGCATTTTTTCCATTCTTTCTATTGCTTCTTCAAGCAGCTGAGATTCTGCCTGTTTGGTCTGTTTGCCTGGTGTCAGTGAGGAGGGGGTTAATAAGCTTGTTTAATGAGGAGGTTCAGAAAAACACAGTCAATTCAAATTAGCTTGGTTTTATTAAAACTGAAGATTAATGGGATGACTTAAACATGTAGACTCTTTTATAGTGCAGCTAATACCATTACACAGTACTTTTTATAGTACATGTGTGAGTGTGTTACCATGCTGCAGACTTTCCATCAGGGAAAGCAATTTTTTTATTTCTTCAGGCTTTCCTGAGGTTTTAAAAGCTTAACTTCTGCCCAGTGGCAAAACTATTTTTCTTTTAATACTTCTTTTGATAACTTTACTTAGATATTTAATTTACTTCTTAATCCAAGGGATGAACCAGAGCTATTTAACTACCATTATCGATAGATGAACCAGTGTAGAATCCACAGACCCTTCAAAATGTATTTAAAGCACTTCACTTTTTCCACATTGGTTATACTCCTACCTTATTCCAAATGTTTTAAAATTACTCTCTAATCCAGAATATCTACACCCAACAAAATGATGTAGAATAAAAACATTTTTGGAGACTGTGGCAAACTTATCAAGAAAATAAAAACATAGACATCAGATTTATTAAAACTTCACAGTCCTTGCCATGAAACTCTAAATTAAACTGAGGTCCAAACAGTTTTCACTGATTTTCCTTCAGATGTTTCTACAGCTTAACTGGAGTCTGTCTGTGGAGTTTAGATTTGTCCTTATTAGAGGGCAAACACCAAGTTAAAGGAATCATCTACAGATACCAGGGAGAGAAAAAGTCCCTCAGTCAGGGCGGTGACCATTAACCATATGGCCACTCTGAATGAACCCTGAACCACTGCACCAATGTGCAGCCCCATGAATATATTATAAATATAGTAATCCAAGATTCCTGGATTAAAAAAAAGAAGCTCCACAGCCCTATTTCAAATGATATAGCACAAATCTCAAGTGATTTGTGCTATATCATTTGAAATAGGATTGTAACATAACTCAATGTGGAAAATGTGCAGCACTGTAAATTCTCTAATAACAGAAATATAAGCAAATAGATAATTTGCAGTGTTTGTTGGACACTTCTGCTGCATTGTTTCTTAAAAATTCCTATTTTTGTCTGAATCTTTGAAAAAAAAACAAGGTTTAGACAGATGGGTAGAAAATCACTATCAGGTAAAATAAAGCACTCAGTTATTCAGGTAATTATCCTCTGAGAACTGATGCATCTGTTTGGTCTGTCAAGCATTTCGTTGAGTTTTCTCTCAGACACTCATTCAATATGCTCTTTTTTAGGCTGAAAAACAGATTTAAATCATGAAAAATCCAGAGAAGTCTGCTTGCTGAGAACATTATATAGAAAAAAAAAATTGTCTGGGATAATAAAAACTTTGGCACAGTCCGAGAAATAATTCACCAAAGCAAATGTTTTCAGATGAGATAGTTTCAGTCACATGAACTGTGATCCCCTAACCTCCTAACTGTAGGACATTTTGAAATTTTATCTCTGTAATTTTATGTTAAATGCTACACAGTCATCTGTCCACAATTCCCCCTTGTGGGACAACACAGGGATTTTCTATTCTATTCTATTCTATTCTATTCTATTCTATTCTATTCTATTCTATTCTATTCTATTCTATTGATAACAAAGATTAACTCACATCTTAAGATGCTCTTGTGGTCAGACAGATCTACTAATTTTAACTTTAAATCTGGTCACAAAGCGAAAAAGCTGAAAAGCAACATTTTATCTTAACCTATCACAACAGAAAATTCTTAAACTTTCATTGAGACTGCCTTTTTATAGCTATATTTCTATGAAAGCAGCAAAACATGTCACACATTTATGATCTACACCTATGTTACAGGCAGAACAACCATTATTTGATTATTTCTTTAATGAAACATATTTGACACATATTTGTTCTGTCATTATTTTGTTCACTATACCTTGACAGAAAGCCCCTCCCCCTCAGGATCAATATGTTCAATAACTGTCGTTGCATAACAGTTTGCAGGTGTCAGATAGACAGAAACAAATGTGCTCTCCATCACACCAAAGACTTTGCCCAAAGAAACCTACTGTGGTCCATTATAGTTGTTTATTTAAAACGAGGAATGCCATTTTCGCACCATGGCTCATTCTGTTTAGCTTAAGGTTGTATACAGAGTCTGAGGAATACCTGGAAAGGTTTAATGGCATTGATGGGATGATTGTTTCAGCATCAATTTGGTACCTCAGGGAAAACTGCTCAGAATGATTGTAGAAATCCATCTGCAAGGTCAAAAGATATGATGCAAGCCGTTTGGCATTACCAATCATTTAAAAAGCCTAAAAAGACTGATGTGTTGGTCAGGACTTTATTTATTCTGGCCAAAAAGAATTTACTTAATTAAATCTCAGCTCTGCTGTTGTTTTATAAAAATCTATAAATACAAATGTATGTTTAAGACACTAAATAAGTAAATTATTATACTAGAAGTTGTCAAACTTATGAGGTTAAAAATGTCATTTTATGCAAAATGATTTTTTGAGATATGTGTTTGGTAAACAATGCCTCTTACAGGTGAGCTTATGTCAATACAGAAAACCATGCTATAGTGGCACATTGCAGATGTTCAACTTAACATCAGATTTAAATAAATGCATACTTCATCTAGACATGTAGACCTGCTTATAAACAAAATATGATTGAAATGGTCAAATATTTTTAAACATGAAAAAAATGACTTATTTAGAAACTAATACAGGTGGGTATACATTTTAAAGGTTCATTTCTGCTTATTTCGAGGCCTGCAGCTGACAGCAAATGAAAACTAAACCCAATTTCTAATAAAATTTGAATATTCCATATAATGGATTAAATTTGATTTAAATACAGGAATTTGGCCTGACTGAAAAGTTTGTTGATGCGCTGTAGGCATTCTGTACCCAGTTGGGTTTCCTTTTGCATAATTTTCACCATCACTGATACATGAGATTGGGACAACCAGCCTGTGTCTCCACCAAGGAGTTCTAGATCGCTTGGATTATTGGGTCTGGTGTTTTTAATGTTCATCTGGGCATTATTTTATTGGGTTAATTCTTGATAAAGCATATCTTGGTAATTCAATTCAGTATTGCCCTTTTTCCGGTAATCAAAAGTAAGAAGTCCATCCATCCATTTTCCATCAGGCTTATCCCAAGCGAGGTGAGGGGAAAACAGAAAATCAAATTAACATCTTCATAAAGCTTGTTAGAAGAATTTAAGAATCAACTGTGGCAAAAATGTCCCTGTAAACTGCCACACTGGTACCGACCCAAACACAGAGGACGAACAAAAGGGTGATCCATGTTTCAATTGGCTTTGGGAAGTTTCTTCTGGACCTTTTCAAACTCAGATTAGGTTAAAAAAACAAAACAAAACAAAAACCTTCATCTGCAAGGAGGATTTTTGTCTATTGTCCAAACAGCCCAGTCCTTCTTCACTTCATACATCATATATGAGAGTTCAATCTGTGACTCTCTTAACGTCCCAGATTCAGTAATAGTTTGTGACTGTCATGGCCCATTTTCATTTGTCTGTGTTTGGTGGTTCTTGAACCCATCAGCTGCTCACGCCTTATGAGTTAAACATAGACATGTCATAGCTGTAATTCGATATGTTGCTTGTGCATCTTCACCTAACAGCATTTCATAACTTAAAAAAGGTAAGAAAGCATTATTTTTAGAACTAGCTGCAAAAATCTGACTGGATTTGGTTGCTTGCAGAATGTATGATCAAACCACTAAAATGAGGGATCATAAATACAGTAGTCATATCAGAATATTTACATAAATATCAATGATTTTATATGTACTTTAGTTTGCTAAAGCATTAAGAAAAATATGAAAATATGGAGTCTGTATATAGTTATTTGACATCAGGACATGCATTTCTTTAATGTTATGGTTAGAATCTGACAATTGTTCTTCTCCTTAAAACTTGTGTTTAGCAGGAGGAGAAAATCATGCTGTGAAGTAAATTAGCCAGCAAGTTTGTATCTTCAGAGCAGAGCTGAATTGATTCCTTCTCAAGCGATTTTCAAACCCCCACGAGGATAATACTGTCGCTCTGTGATCAATGGTTGCCTTCATGCTCAAAAACCCTGTTACGGTGGACAAAAACAATTGCAGTAGTTCCATTAGAGAGTTGTCCATCAAGAAAACCTTTTGGAAAAAAATGATGCATGCTTACATCAGAATGAGTTCCTTCTCACTTACAATCCAACATCTGCAGCTCCCAGCTCTTCTAAGTTGTGTTTATTGGTCTTCAGTCCATTTTATTCTTGGGGACTGAAGTAAATTTAACCTTTTATTGTTTAACATTTTGATATTTATTGACATTCTGTCATATAATCACAGTGGTGCACTTAACTGCTGGGTTAACCTCTGTTAAGAGACTTTACTTTTATATTATAATTTCTTGGAACCTATAATTTGACTTTTTTAAATTATTTTATTCAGAATGTATTTTATTAAATAGACAGCAAGGGAACAGGCCAGTATTTTTACACAAATACTTTATTTTCAGGAAGATTAACCTCGACTATTTGGTATTTTATGAAAAAGACAGATACCTTGAGGACTCATGCTCCCCTTTGAATTTCCAAACCACATACATATTTTTTATTTGACTGTGATTTGCAAAAAGTTGTGGACGCTTTCTGTGCTTTTTTCCCCCGTCCTCATAAGTGAGTAGTATGTTAAACCATCTATATGTTTCTACCAGCTTTTCCACTCATAAATCAACATTTTTGCATATTAATTAAGCAGAAAAGGTCAAACTCAGTCAGATGTAAGTGTTCTCCTGTAACATAAAATTGCATCCCATTATCAAGAGCTTTAAGTATCGCACAGATTCCAACAAGTTTTCAGCTAGAACCACCTTGTATCTGTCCATCTTTCCATGAACTCTGACCAACTTTTACAGTATCTCCCTTCAAATGAAAAGCATCACCACAGCATCATTCTACCCCTACTATGCTTTTTCACCTTGGGAATGATGTGTTTTGCATGTAGGATGCAAGGTGTCTCATCTCTCCAGAGCACCCTCTTTCAAATTTAGCCTATAGCCAGCTGCGGATGGTAATATTTATAGGGTCTTATACAAACATGTATTTCATCAGACCATTCTTCAGAAAAGGTAAGAATTGTGTATGACTAATATTTTTCCTTTAGCTGTGGATCCTTTTAACTTTACAGGGTAACCATGGGCCTCTTGTGCTCTATCCGTCTCTTTGGGTGGACGACCATGTCTTGCTATGTTTAGGTTAACTCATCTTGTTTTCAGGGGATTACTTTCAATAGAGTTCCTTTGGATTTCATTTAGGGGTATCAAACTCTTAGTTTTCTAAAGAAAAATTAAAAAATCAATTTGCTACTTTCCTTACACTTCTCAATTTTGTGCCACTCTGTACTGTTCTATGACATAGAATCCCAACATATTCCAAGGAAGGTTGAACAGATTGTGATCAAGTTCAAGAGATGTTTTCCAGGGGATGCACATACAATCTTTGTCCATCATTACCGTCTTTGAAACAAATAAAAAGTTACAGTTTTTTTTTTCTTAAATAAAGTAACAAGTTTTTCAAAATATGTTTAGGCTGATGCTGAAAACATTTCTCAACATGACGTCAAGTTATCACAGTTTCTACAACCAAGAGTTTCTAAAACTGAATACAGTCATTATGAACTTCTTCAAAAATAATGGTAGGAAGTTGTTAAATTTGAATGCAAACAACTGTATTATCTTACTACATTGTATAATTTCATAACTAGTACAGATTTAAAATTGACAAGAAACTTCACGTTTAACTTTCCCATCGGAGCATTGTAATGCTTAAACCTATTGCCACATCAAGCTCTCCTTCCATATTGTACCACTTTGAATAAAGCTTGATTTAGGAGTTAGCTAATTGAAAATTATAATAGGAACATTTTCATTCAAATGAGATGCTGAAACTCCTTAGATAATGAATAAAGACAAATAGGAACATTATAAATGTTTTATTTTTGACCATATTACATCTTTTCACAACGTGTCAATATAAAACACCAACCCACATGTGTTTTCTCTAATCTTAATTAAACCACTTGCTTGTTATTTAGTATTTCATGCATACTTTGCTCTGATGCAGTGCACAATAAAAGGCATGAAACCGTCTTAGTTATTATTTTGTAGCATAAAGTCGAGTTTTTTTTGCTTAACTTAAAACAGGAATGCTATATTAATATAAAATATGTAAAAAACAAAAAAAGGTACTGCAGGGGTATTTTAAAGGCACTTGGTTATTTACAAGTTCAAGTTAACTTTTTAAGATGTAAAAAAAAGTGCATCAAAAATGTTTAAAAACTATCTTTTGTCTGTTAAAAGAAGACATTCAGGAGCATCCTTTTTATAAGTAGAGAAAAGTATCTGAAAGCTCAAAGTCATGCATCTTATTTTCCTTTTTTCATAAGCTTTGACACCTACAGTAAGCACAAGGCAGATTAATACTGATGATGCAACTTTAAAGGTATTATTATAATACCTTTAAAGCTGCATCATCAGTTGTGCAGAAAGTCATCCATGAGGTGTTTTATTTGGTACAAACTCTTCTAAAAGATTAATTAATATTAAATAAATATAAACAAAAAGGAAATATCAACAAATATGTTGAGCCAAATTCATAAAGATGGTTTCCTTCATTTTAACATATGGCCAGGAAGAATAAAAATCCCCACAGCTCCAAGATCCGTGGAGGGACGACACCACAGGCAGTGGAATACAGAGATAAAAAGTGGGACCAATATTGTACCAGTGCAAGAATGCTGAGTGAGTGCGACAGTGCTGACACGAGGGTCAGAGGCTGGTGACATGGGACAGGTCCAGTGCACTGAATAAGCCTTGCATAAGCAGAGATGCTGCTCTGTCTGTGTAACAGCCACTGTGCGAGCAGTGGAGGTGGGGTGGTCCCTGAGAGTCTCGTCCCCTGTGGAAAAGGTGTCTGCACGACACAGCCAGGGTTACCGTTCCTCTGCTACTTTCCCGTTGGCCTCCTGTTCCTCCTTGTCTTTTCGCTTCTGTCTGTGGAAGAACCCAAGCTGCATGGAAGATACGTCATGCAAAGAAACAAGGTCACAAAAACGATATATGCATGGTGAAACTTTTTGTGACATCAGCTATGAAGCAAATTTGCACTATTTTTGAGGAAACATACAATGCAGACAAAAAAGCACAAATTAAATATCCTAACTAAAAAATTAACAGGGATCATTAGATTTCTTTTGTTAGCCTGCAATGGCCCATACCCGTCTAAGTCGCTGAAAGAGGGGTCGTATGACCCCCATTCCAAAGGAGTGGACCCATGCTTCAGTCTCATTTTGCATGTTTTCCAAACAAAAACAAGGTTTTGATGGGCTTCTGTATAAAACCTTGAACTCAACGGTATTTCTGACATTTTGAATTGAAAAATCTTCCTGGATGGTAAGCGAAACTTCTTCAAACTTGGGAACAAAGTCCAGTGGATTGTTTTTTGACTTTTTTTGAATGACTATGACCTGGATGACTGAGAATCTTCACCAGCATAAACACCCAAAGCTAACACAGAGTTACCGAAAAATGAATAGCAATTCATAATTTGAGATCTTCACCTTTAAGTACAATCCATTTTTTATTGTGTAATAACTATAAAAATGGCTTCAGGTTCTTTCAGTTCAAGAAAAGCTATAAAGTGGAATATGAGATGATAAATTGCATTATATACTTCTATGCCTGTGGACAAACTTACCTTCCACAGAGCCAGACTGAGAAGAGCCAACAATAAGAGCCCTCCCAGCGTGCTGCCAACAATTATCCAGGTAGGGATTCTGTAATCTCCCTCCTTCCTGATCTCCAGGATTATCTGCAAGAAAGCATCAGAAAATGTACACCCTATCTTACAAGAACTCAGGTTCAATTACATTGTAGTGCCTTGATGTTTCATATAAAAATCAATACAATTAGTAGAAATATCCTGTTGTGTAAATGATGTAATAAATTTAAGTTGTAAGCAACATTTACCAGCACTATTTGAAGATAATAGCCAATTCCCAGCAGGGCTCAGTCTTTTAGTTATTTCTTCCAATAATACAATAGATCTTGACAATTGGCCTTGATGTAGTGCCTTCTGTTTACAGTAAGTTGTTAAACCTATCCGACAAAAGCTTATATCTTTTTGCTAAATGGAAATCATTTTGAATTTTACCTTCTCTCTATTGTGAGTGTATACTGTAGAAATCTCATTAATATTTTAATGTAAAATAAATAAAACTATAACTGCCTCTGGGTTTTCAATATGACATATTGAGGTATATATCTTATGACCAGTAGATGGCAGCAAAGTTTAAGATTTAATTTTATATTTTTACAGCGTTTGCTGTTGGTCCTTTCGGTCCCTCAGCTCCATGAAGCATTTTTGATCAAAGAGTTAAGTTTATTGTGTGGTTATAACTCTTTTTACGGTAATCATACTTTCTAAAAGTTAAAATGCAAATATTTAAAATAAACAAATGTTTATTTTGTAAAATGTGTTGATAAAAAATGTATATCCTTTTCTTTCTTTAAGGGTGATTTTCTGACAAACATAACATCAAAATGACCAGAAGTTATGATCATAGTTCAAATGATGCTTGTAAGAAAGCAGTTTGAATCAGGTCAAACACAGGACACAAGTGGTTTCCAGCAATAATGGTTGCTGACTCACATGTCTGACAGGCTTTTCTTCATGTAAAAACATGGGGCTGGCAGAGGGGAGCTCCACTGAAGCGCTTGTTATCAGTTCCAGGACTTTAAACTTTAGCTGGAGATGAAATAAAAGCATTCAGCCACTATTTCACCACCAAGTGTCACATCAGAGTTGAAACAGCAAACAATATGATGACAACTAATCTGGTATTACTTTCAAGGTTTAAGCTTACTGCATGTAATGTGTCTATTCTCAGAGCTCCTGTGATTTGAACCCAGACATCTCTGTGGGAGGGGACATTAACTGTGCACTGGATTGGCAAGGTGAGTGTGTTGGATCGGTTCTGTGTGGAGAAACAAAATAAGGCCCATGAAAAAGCTGAAACTAAAACTGTTTATAGTAGAATGATTTCACTGTTGTTCTTTTTACATTACCAAGCGGGAGAAGCGGGAGAGATCCTCAGGTGAAGCTCTGCTCTCTGCGATATGCTGGGGTGGTAAACAGCTTGTTCCATCTCTCTGAGTTGGGATGTTAAAGTAAAGGTTTAATATACAGCAATCCATTAGTGTTAGAGAAACAATCAACTTGTTGCTCCTTATTTACAGTAAACTGACCATAAACTAGTCAATAGTTGGTTTAAAGAAAAACTGGAATACCTGTTTCTCTGATTCTATGAAGGTAGATTTGTGCAATTTTATGGAGTCTCAAAATTTTTATTTGCATTCAAAACTATTTTTGTATGATTGAAAATGTTTATCTTTTTATTGAAATTTTGTTGTTTGTTTGTGTGAAGCAACTTCTTTTTTGATTGAATGATAAAGACACAAACGTCCTACCCATTACATGGTCCAATCAAAAAACAATGTTACTTCAATTAAAAAAGTTATTCTAAGCAAAAAAAGTCAAAAACTCTATCAAAGGAAACATTTTCAATCAAAGAAAAGCAGTGTTTAAATTATTTCTTTGAGTCTCAACTATGTTTTCTGCATTCAAATACTTTGTTTTATTGAAAAGGTTTTTTTCATTCAAGTGAAAGTGTTTTTAATTGAAAATATTTTTTTGATTGAATCAACCATTTTTTTTATTTGAATAATACAGACAGAAATCTACCTTCATATGATTCCAGTTGAGTCAAGACATTAGCGTCTTGGAGCATTATAAGCTATTAAACAGTAAAATCAAACAGCAGCCAGCTGTGTTTTTTTTAATATGGTGTATATGACTCTTTGCCCAGGGCAGCAGGGCTGGGGAAATTTAACTCTGAGGTGGCCAATGCATAAACACTTAAAGAACATATTGCTGTACATCATATAATATTATTTGTTCCCAACTAGTTTGGTAGTAATCTAAATTTAATGAACCCCATTAAAACTGGTCTCAACATTAACATCGTAATTCATTTAGACTGGCCAGCTATTTTCTTCATTATCATACAATGAGCATATATTCTACACTGCTTTATCTATAAAGAGACATGGGTGATAAGCAAAGCTTGAATTCATCTCTCATCATGAGTTCCTTTATGACCATGATGAAAACTTTGCACTTAATGCAAAGGACTACAACAATGTTACTCTAAAAATGTATTCTTTTTATGATGCAATGTCCTCCAGCTGATTATAACTGGTCATTTTAAGGCTGTTAGATTTAAAATTGTCAGCTTTATGGCACTAAAATGTTTTAGTCTGTCAAACTGTGCTAGCACCAGTTTATTTTCACTGATTCAACAAACGGTGTGGAAGCTAACATCTTTAGAAGTCTAAGTCAAATGTGTAAATATATTATGTCATAGCTCTTCAATCAGATTGCAAAGATGACTGTAAAAGTAGTATAGAATCAAAATGTTAAATTTGAAAGGTCTTTAAAAAAATCTGAACTCTTGATCAGGACTAATCAAGTTTTAAAATAAAATTTTAGCCTTTTGAAGGAATACAAACATTATTTCTGTTGGGGTTTAGTTGAAATATTAGCTTTTAAACATTAATTACAACAAATGAAATATTGAAATTTACCTTTACATTAAAATATTTAATGCATAAACACGTAACGGAAATTAGGACACAAAGTAACTAGTTCCTTGTCAGATACAGAGGAGTTAACAAGCTACCGATCTCCAACTGTTAAACCAAATTAAATCTATAATACAAATCTATATTCTTATTTCTATGTTTTTATTTTTTGCAGTCTTCGTATTATTCCTGACTATCTTCCTTTCTCTTCCTGGCTGTAAACTCACCTGATCAACATGGAGGTTAAATATCTGCAGGAGCTGGTTCCCGTTTTTTGTCATTTCTGGGATCTCGATGTTCAGCTGCAGATCTCTAACTGGGAAATATCCAAGGTTCTGGAGCTGAATTTCGTATACAAAGAGAGGGGGAGGAATAAATGATGTGGATTATTTCTAGGTATTGTTTTCTCTATGTCTCAGTAAAAACAGTGGATGATAAGAAAGCATCCTCACCTGGAATGTGAAGTTAAATGGAGGGCCAATAATTCCAGGCTCCTCCAGTGAGAGCTCTGATTTGATCTCATACCGCGTTGGATCTGAGTCCCTTTCAAGGCAAAGAATAGAAAAACAGAAGTATCAAAAGCTTTTCTTTTAAGTGTGTATTCTATTTTTACTTTAATTTTCTTGCCTTCATGAATATTTGGCTTCCATGTTTAAAGTAACTTAAAACAATCCCTTCAGCTGCATTAACTTTTTTTTTAAAGTTTGCACTCTGACAAACCTGGTAAAGAGAAGGTCTCCCTCATATTTCAGTGAGTAATAGATGTCATCAAAATTATCAGATATGTTCACTTCTTCACCATCACTGTGGAGAGAGGAGCAATATTAATGGTCTTTGTCTTCCAGAAATATAGTAAAGTTTTACAATGTCTGGAATGTCTGTAAAGTGATGTTCCAACCTGCTTGCCTCCAGGAGAACTCTGAGGTATTCCAGGAAGATGGTGCGACTGAACTCAAACTCCAGGCGAAACAAGACCTACACCAGGAATTATGAATAAAAAGAAAATCCATAAATATAAGACTGTATCCCATTGAAGTGGGATGTAATATGTATTCGTTATATTTTATTCTAACAAAACCATCTCAAAAGTAAAATGTATATAGTATATCTTCATTGCAATGTGATGCATTTCCAGAATTCATCAATATTTGATACTTTTCAAATTTTGCACACATCAAATTAGGAAAATATTAGCACAGAAATGCTTTCTTACTAAAAAGTGTGCCTATGCTATGAAACATTATAAACATCGAAGTCTAAGGTTTTTTTTCACATGAATTATTATATAAAGGTAATTTAGTAAAGAGTATTTTTTCATGGGAGCACAGAATAAAAAAATGAAAAAATAAAGTGGACAGTATTTTATCATTTAATCTCATGGAGCTAATGCAACTTTCACCTTTGGAGCTGCAGGTTTGAGACCTCCGGTTTAGCAGATTTAAACTGTGATCTTGATAGAGCTGAAGCTAAAAGTGAAATACTTTAAGCTTTATATAACTGTTAAAGTGAAACTGCACAGCTTAAAAATGGTCCTTGTGACCAATAAGTTACAGTCTCTGTTCCAGCATATATTACCATAAAAATTGGATTGTATTTTGTCTTCAGTAAATCGGCCATAAAAGGGATCAGAACCAATTCTGCAGGGGCAATGCCCAGTGTTGACACCTGTCTAGAACCGCCCATGTTAAAGAGTCAGTAGACCTCTGGTTTTTCTGAGGAAGCTTATATCCCTTCTCCCTCCGTGTTTTCCTTTAGGTCGTGCAATCCACCATGTGGGCAATCATGGTCCTAGTGAAAAATGAAATCAACATCCCCATGAACATTGTTTAAACTTGTTGTGGTAGAAACCTCTGACTTTGGACTTGATAAAAGACTTTTGACCAACACCAGCTGATGACCAAGCTGCCCAGACTAACACTGACTGTGGAGGTTTAAACTGGACCTCAGCTTTAATTCTGTGCCTCTCCACTCCTCCTTCATGCCCTGTGGGATCTCCATTACCAAGTTACTGTAAATAAGCATTTAACTTTCATTTCTAAATGATTTTAATTGAGAAATGGCTTAAGTTAAAACATGCTAAAGTTTTAGCCAATGTCAACAATACCACTGTGTGTTATTATTCTGAAACCAAGGATTACATGACTTGTGAATATGAACCAAACTCATGCATGGGCAGAGCTTCACAACACTCTCATGACTGTGGCTACACCTTCTTGCCAGGCAGCTTTCTTGACCAGAATGTGACCTACTTTTAAACTTTCCATTAACATATTTAGACATGAGCTGCACAGTTGCACACTTTTGCCGTGCAGCAAGATCTCCTGAGTTTAATTCCTGGTCTGGATTCTGTCTGCATGAAGTTTGCATGTTTTCCCTGTGCTTCTGAGGGTTCTCTCTTGGTACTCTAGCTTCCTTCCACAGTTCAACAACATGACTGTTAGTTCAACTGGTGACCAAATTACCTAGTGACCCTGTGAGAGTAAGTTCATGCTTGTATGTCTCTGTGTTGCCCTGTGGGGACTGGTGAACTGTCCAGGGTGCACAGTGTCATTTAAAATAGGATAAAGCTCTATTTATGTATTAATTTATTTGAAACATAAATCATCTTATTTCATTAGAAAATTATCTTACTTGCCTACAAAAATCAAGGGAAAATACATAGGAATTGCAATAATACAAACCTGACTTGCTTTTTTTTGCAGTGCAAAGAAAAAACACAAATGCTTTATATTTACACTCTTTGTGATTAATTATATAGTTTGTTTTCTAGAACTGAACCACTGAAGATAAACCGACTTTTCAATGATATTCTGATTAAGTGAGATGAACGTGTAGCTCTAAAAGATTAATAGCAGCTGTTTCACAGGTCTATGCTCCTCAGCAGTAAATGCTCTGAATGAGGGATTTTGGATAAAGACTGCAATAACTTGCTGTGTTTGTTGAATTTAACCCTGGTGCTACTTAGAGTGAGCAGGCGGACATCCCTTTAGTTCCAATGAATTTAAAAAACTCTTCCACGGATAAAATAGAAAAAGCTGCACTCAGGAGAAAAATGAGGATAAGTGAATAAAGGATTGAAGTAGGCTTGACAGAATCCTCAATAAAAACAGGAGTCTGACAAAGAGAGATGGTTTGTTCAGCAACAAAGAGCACATAAAGCAGACTAGAGCTGGGTTGAACGCTGTTTTCTATCCTATGTACCATAATGAAATCCTGATGGATCCTGTCTGACCACAGAGGAATTCATAACAAGGTTACTGTAGCTTCCCTCCTGCATGGAGAGGCTCATATGAGATAAACCACAGATACAGCAGGAAGATGGTGATCTTACTGTATTTAATCAAGAAGACCAAAGAAATTTGATTAGCACACCACAACTGATATCTTTTATACAAGTGACTCATGTTTCTTAATAAATGCTGAAATAAAACAGACAAACAAAGGCAAGAAAAACTAAGCATGTAAAAGTTAACAATTTAAAAAAAAAAAAAAAGGTATTTTAGAGGGTAGATGTTATAATGCTACAAGAGAGGCACCTAGAAATTTAGATTAGATGTAAAACTGTTTGTTAATCATCCCTCGTTTGGGTTAGGGTTAGAGACACATAATAATAGAATATCATTTAGATATTCATTGATGCTTTTTTATTCAATTTAAGAAACTGTCCTACAGTACTATTAAACTTTGCTTTTGATTATAGCTGCATGTTTTGCAATAACTGTTTTCAGCCACATTTTGAAAGCTTAATGGGTAACTAGCTTTGCAAAAAAAGCAATCCTAAATAACATCTATTGTCCCTTTGTTTAGCTGTACGTGCACAAAGCTTTACAAGACACAAATTCTTCTAATTTAAGAAGCTAAACTAATAAAAATATAAAACAAATACAAAAACCCCCAAATCTCAATTAACTAGGAAATAAACAGCTTAGATTTTATTACGTGTCCCTTGTTTAGTTACATTTTTTCTCAGGTTTATATGGTATGATTGCAGTGCTCTTGAGAAAGGGAGTTTTTCCTCTCCACTGTCACTACAAGCATGCTTGGTGTGAGGGATTGCTTTTGAGTTGTGAATTGGCGCTAAACAAATAAACTGAATTGAATTAGATATCATTGGCTTATACTGTAGCCTGGTGCAGCTTATATATTTCCAGTTTTAAACAAAACTTAGTGGGTGCTTTTTAAGGTGCTCTCTATAGTCCAGAAAATACGGTAGTCACTTTATGCCATGGTTAATTTCTTCAACACAAATTTCTCTGAATGAAGAAGGCTGAACAGGCGTGTTGTACATTACTTCCTTCTGAAAGAGGGAAAACTAAAACTGTTCCTTCTGTCCCACTGGAATGATAAACTAGAGGGAAGCAGGTAGATATAATGCTGTGTAAGTGAGAAATAAATCAATGATCATCAAAATTCTAGTTTAGGGTCAGTCAAGGTAAGCAGACTAAGACTGTCACAAACATAAGCATATGGTTCTACAGTGTAGAGCACATTTGTTTTTCTGCCCTGAAGCGAGCAAATAAAAAAGATTTAAAAAAAAATGTTTTCTCTAAAAAAGAAGCTTGTGTCGAGGTTCCAGTTTTCATTCAGTAACAATTTTGGACTAGTTTGGCAGCTTCCCAGTTGTACAATCATCGTTATTTGCCTTCACCAGTTTTTTTTTTTTTAAAGGAAATTGACCAATGCGGTCCAGCTTTGTGGCTCTGGATGCTGCTCAGCTCAATGAGCGGGTATGAATCACTCTCTGAGATTTAAAGGGTGGCCTGGTGCTCCTGGTTCAGCTGTTGGAAGGCCTTGCAGAGAAATGTTGGATGTTTTGTTGCCCAGGAGATGAGAACTGCTTATTATAAATACATGTTAAACTCCTTCTCTTATTTCTACTCAGAACATTATGTGACTATGGAAAACAAGGGAGACAAGAGTCAGCAAATGAGATGAAAAGATATAAATATACATATAAACAGAGATTAAAAGCTTTTATTTTAACAGCGAGATAAAAAAAGATGATGTCATCCTTATCTAGTTTCATCTAACCATCACCTTCTATACAATAAAGTTAAAGCTCTTCCCTAAAACAGGGCAGTGTTGTAAATATTGTTGACTTTACAGCCTAGCTTAGGAACAGCAAAATTTATTGTAACAAAAAATCCAAAACAGATGAGGCAAAATTTGATCTCAGCCTTTATTTCACCTACTGTGCCAGAGACAAAATAAAGAGCACAATTTCAAATATATTCTTAAACAAAAACAAAAAAATGTTTCATAGTTTTTCTCTAAAAAAACAAAACAAAAAAACAAACAGATCCGATTCTGGAATTACTTAAATCTGATCTAAAGTATAAATAAAACTAAAAAAATCTCATACTTGCATTAAGTAGTTGTGATTAAAAAAGGTTATCATTCCAACCTTATCCTATAGCAGGGTAGTCATGTAGGATCATGGATGATTGGCTGCTTATCTACAGAGATCAATGGTCAATAGGTGGAGTAGAACCTGGATAGGTTGGCCAGTTCATTTACAAGGAAACACAGAACAGAACCATTTCCATAAACATTCCCTGTCTAATATACAAGCTTTGGGGCCTTCTGGGAAAACATGAAGATGCATGCATAAAACAAGCATGAGAACTCCATGAAAAAAAAAAAAAGTGAAATATAAAGATTGCTCTGTGTGGAAAACTGGACACAACCCATACGTTTTAGCTGGTACAGCACCACAGACAGAGACAGATAGTTGAATTATTGATTTTTGTGTGACTTTAAAAGTCTCTCCCATTGTTGTGAAGACTGTTAAGCTCCCTTTTTGTGTCATCATTACTGCTTTATTCCTTTAAGGTTTTCTGATATTCTTTCCTGCTTTGGTACATGTACAATATTTCCAGTCATAAATCATTTTTAACAAAAGACTGTTGCTTAAATAGCTATAATTAGATTACATGTGGTTGTCTAAAATCAGCTTTACTTGATTATTTACTGAGCTCTACTTCTGTATTTTCTGAACAAAAACACTGGTTCTGTTCTCTCATACACAGGAACGATCATCTTTGAATTCCCATGGAAATATCCCTCAGCTTCTTTGTAAATGACGAATTCACGAAATGTGAGAACGGATTCAAGATTCTAGTGTTTGGCAAACACCATTTTGAGAGTCCAGATGATTTAACCTGGAACCAAAGAAATCAGAGTCTTTGACCTTTTTTCTGGCTAAAAATGACTCTATTCCTTTAAATAAGGTGATCTCTAGTTAAAGGATTGATCATCTGGGAAGTAAATACCAATCTGCCAATCTCAATAAATGAATGAATTTGATGTATCAACATATTAGCAAATCACATGGGAAGGTCAAAAACTGTTTCTTACAACTTTTGGTTTGAATTATCACCAGCCTATCTTTTTGTAACTATCTAATGCTACTGCAACAAAGTTACAGGTAAAAAGCTCAAAAAATATACATTATATATTTTTTTAGAATCTGATTGCAGACATTGACAGATATTAATTTGAAAAAAACTTTACTTGTCCATCAGAGTAATGGAATAGAGTTACAGGCAAGGCATTCCCTGTTCATAGCGTCTCAATGAAGGCCTTTTTTGACAACACTGGACTTCACCCTAAGCAAAACTAGACTTAGAAATCATAGATAAGGAATTCTTTTTTCAATCTGGAATCTGGAATAAGAACATTAAACTTTCTCATCTCATCTCATTTAGTAACATTATTTAAACAGTTTTTATTTCTTACTATAAGGCCTTCAAGCCTCGTCAATTTGAATACTAGTCTGTTCTCAGGTCTGGTCCCTGTAGATTAAAATGTTCATCAGCCTAGCCTTTGTTTAAGAACATGACTTTAGACCATTGAACTATACCTTACTCTAGATCCTTGAGAAGGCAGTCTTTAAACAATGTACTGCATATCTGAAATAAAAAAAAACTAAAAATTTTTAGTTTTTGATTTGCTATATTTGCTATATTTCTTTTGTAGCCTCCTTACAGAGGGTGTCTGTATATTTTAAGATTAATTTCAAAATTATTTTATTTGCTGTAATAGTTACAGTAGTTAGTACCAACATTAGTACCTACACACCCTTCTGTTCCACCAATCAGCTGATCTGCTGCTTTTGAGTGTGTAAAAGTCAGAGCGAAAGCTCAGAGGAGGATGTGCTTTTTAAGGTATAGTGGAGGGTTTTTGCAAATTTTTGAAAAGACCTGCCCTCTACACTTTAAATAAAAAAGCACATGCTCAATCGTGTACATGCTCCCGAGAGGGAACGCGTATTAAAAGTGTGTGAGAGCGTGCACAAGCCCATTTCTCCTCATGCACACTCTGTTTAAAAGTTGCTGTTTGCATCATACATACAAGCTTACTTTCCAAAAGAAGATTTGCAATTTTTCTACTTTTCACCACTAAGTGAAAATGATGATTTGAAAGTTTTATGATATATCCTGAAAAAGAACATCCTCCACTATACCTTTAATATTTGAAGCAAAATGCAATATATGAAGTTCTACATACTTAGTTGTAAAAAAAAATCAGCATTGTTTACATTTTTGTTTAAATCAAAGTGGAATAGAATTATAGAGTAATTCACATTGTGTTAATCTTACCTGTGATTTTGCTCGCATGAATGGTGCACTGACATTGCAGATCTTCTCATTTCTTTTCCTGTCCACTGCATTACACTCAATCTTTATTTCAGATGTGTCCTAAAACAGAGAATGTAAATGTTTTAGATTTTGTTGTACAGAAGAAGGGATAGTGTTTGTTTAAGAAGAGATACAAAAGGGCATACCTTGACTATAAGGCTTGAGAAGCGCAGATTGGGTGAATATGTGATATTGATGACAGCATTATAGGCATTTTCTCCTCTGTTCTCCAGTTTCACGTCTAACACCATCCTTTTCTTGTTCCCCTCAATCACCCGCAGCGATCCCTCTGCCTCTGCTCCCCCCTGATGGCGGCAGAAAAGGCCACGAGATTGCATGGGACGAGCACAGAACTGTCTGGAAGATAAGAACAGAGTTTACTTGAGTGTGAAGATGCAGTATGTCTGCTGTTTTATGTTTTTTATGTTTTACTTTACTTTCTAAGGGTTGTTGGATCTTTTGTCAATATAGTATTCTACTTTTTTTTTTTACTTACATGGCATTATCAGACTAGTCTTTATTATTGTTGATGACCAAGTTGATTTATCAACTGAGGCTCTCTTTGCACACCACTTTGAATACATATGTTTGGGCAGTGTCTTTTGGCAGAAAGGTGACAAAGCTTAGGTTTTTGTAAAAACAACCGTACTCATAAGTGCACTGTCCACCTTGGACATAACAGGGCAATGTGGAAGAGGATTTATTTTATTTTTTAAACAATTATTTTCCCATTTGATCTAAATACTCTAAAGGATGCTTTGTTTGTAAAACTATCTGGTTTTCATGGTTCTACTTCATAATGAGATGGTCTCTGGATTCTACATTAGTTCTTCTCAGTAGTTTTTGATTTCATAGTCAAAATCATGCATTTACCATGTCTGTCTGCGCTTGGGATTTTTCAGTAAAAAGATTTTAGTAAAATCAGCTTCAGGACTTTTAGCCACTGCTTTATGTGTTGTGTGGTAAATGTAAGTGTACCTACTTTCGAGTCATCAGGTCATTTTTGCTCTGCAGTGAAAGGTTAGGCATGCAGCGGTCATCCTCATCACAGCCATTCCAGAAGGGCAGCTGTTCAGGAGATAAAGTGTCTGTTTTTATCATCTGTTTTACATTGACTTAGTCTCATAATTGCTTCAACTTTAGGTATCCTCACCTCGGTCTTTACAACAACAGGCCAGCTGTCATCAAGAACAGGTCCCTGGTCCGGATCTTGTAATCCCACTTGCACAGCAAACACTATAGGTCTTGCATAGTCGGTGGTCTCCTGTGAACGAATAAAAAGGCAAACTCATTAAAATTACAATTAAATAATTAGGTCTGTTATGGAAATTTTTGGTAAGGATTCTAACAATATGATACAGACAATAAAAGCCTTCTTTGAAGCCCTAATAGGTTTGAAATTAATATTTTGTACCTAATTTTAACAAAAAAATTTAATTTGTTTTTATATCATAGTTATTATAACTTCACATCTTGGTAAAAGTAATGGATTTCATCAGACATCTTGTTATTTCACTCCAATAAATCAAAGAGGGCCTTGGAGTACCATTGTTTTGATTGATCAGTCATTAACTATAGCAATGATCAAATATTTCCACTATGTTGTTGGGGTGTCATATTTCGTTAATAGAAGCCAATTACTCTGAAGGGGCAATTTATCACAGCTAAACATAAATTCTCCCAGAAGCTTTGGGGGCTACCTATGACATTAACTGTAATTTAAAAGCAAAACCACTAGAATTAATGGAGATATGAGCTTCAATGTCCCTGGTGTTTACATAGAGTAAAGTATTTTTTTACATAAAATTACAAGTGTTTTTAAAAGGTATATGATAAATCAGTTGTAATCCTCCCGAATTATAACAGGCTCAAGAAGACATTCACCAGTACAGGGATTAAAGGAGGTGACAGGCTTTCAGTCAATAAAACCTCTTGCTTCCTCTTTCATTAAATTATGAGTCATTTAGATGCTGTGTTACCAAACAATGAAGTAAAGATACAATATTTATTGAGGCAGGTACTCAGTGATTATAAGTGAAAGTAATACAGTACAGGAATCATTGTATTGTAGATCCAGGCATCACAGAAGGTCATGTTTAGAACACTAATTTAAAAAACGAAAGGTCAATATTAATTAATATTTGGGTGAGTATTTTTTATTATTTGGTGTATGAAAAACATAATCTCTGATTAGCAACAAGAATAGGGTGCTAGTAAGTCTTCTAAAAACGGCGACTGTATTTGGGCAAAGTTTAATGAATGGTTGTGCCCTATTCTGCTTTTAAAAAGCAATCAGAACATGTTGTGGTATAACCGAACCCTTTATAGGGCAAGTTACCATTTTTGATCACTTGCATACCCCTTAAAAATGGAGTCCCCTAATCCCTCAGTGAGGTCTAGAAGAACAAGATCTATATATCCAGCCATTCAGCAAAGATACTGCTACATGTCTGCACATCTCACTTTGGCATCTGGCCAATTAGATGAGCCATTAAATGATATACATGTATCACCTATTGTAAATTAAGTTGGAAAAAAAAAGAAAAAAGGTAAAAAGCTAATTGAAAAGTTAAAAAGTAAAGTTAAAAATTTAATAATCCTAGATAACAATTATATTTAGGTTTATGAACAAAAAATGTAAGTGCCAGTATCAGCATTAACGCATTTAAGGTTATGTTGTACCAAAAAAATGTGATTCTTTTACTCTCAGAATTTTTTTTAATAAATTTCTCATAGAAGCACTTTTTGTTTGTTTTTTTTCTTAATGTTTTCGGGCAAGTTAGCGTTTTTTTGTTATTACATTGACATTAATTTTTGCCGTTAAAATATCCCTATTTTTTGAATGTTACAAAGGTTAAAAAGGTTTTGTCCATGATTCCAATAACACTATTGGCTTGAAATTTAGATTTTCAAGGTATTTCACCGAGTGCCATATAAAGGGTTAATATGAAATTCAGATGAGTGGCAAAAAAATGTTATAAATAAATGATAAACACATCGTTTAATCTTGGGAGAAAATCTTGCCCTTAATCAGTTCATCCTTCTTGATCAGGTGACTTGCTGGATGAGACAAATGTGTGGCTTTCTTGAATAGTGGTGGAGAGCTGCACACAACCCATCTGAAGGCTGGAAATGGTCCCTGAGCCACACTTTGAACACCCCAGGCTCAAACTTAGTTTTTGAAAGAAAGCGTGGTTTGTATTTGATTGATTGCTGTTTTAAGCAATGACAACATTTCCCCCAACTTTCTGGATCCTGGTTTGTTTGACTTTTTGGTGCTTTCTGTTTAAATGTTTTCATGTGTTTGGTTGTTGTAAGTTATTTTGCATTTGAGGATATGTTCAGTGTTTTGCTACAATGTTTTAATAAGCGTATACGTATAACTACAGTGTGTGCTGAAGTAGGTAACCAGTTAGCTTTGGGTATATTGTTATCTGGTGGATCTAGGGAACCTAGGGAACCATTGCAGAGGTGCATTACATTAAAGAAGTATTGGGCAACAATTTCTCTATTTTCCTGCATGAAATAACATGTTTCCCCTTGCTGGCAGTTCAGTATGACTGAGAGGTGATGGTAGAGATCATTTGGAGATGCTCAACCAAGAAGTGAAAGTCTGCACTACTGCAGCATAATGGTGTACTGTGCATATGCAGCAGCTGCACAAGAAACGGTTTCACTATCACCAAGAAACCAAAAAACAGAAATTATAAGACAACAAAACTGGAGAATAAGAAAAAAACAAGGATAAACATCAGGGAAGTCTCTAGGTGGGAGGAGCTAATGAAAGATACAGATTTTAAAAGGGAAGCTGAAGCTACCCTGTTTTCTTTGACAAAGTAAGTGAACTGTACTGCCTAAATAAGTGTAAATCCATTTAGACAGTGTTGCTTGTTATCATTGAAAATATAAAACTAGATCCTGTAAACATATACCAATGTTGTTGGTATGCAATTGCAGGTTTTATATGGGTTTAGTAGCTTTCAAAGCTGCAGTAAATGGTGGCTTTTTGTCATAGTAAATGTCCTTTACCTGACATGCAAGTAACTAAGACAATAAAATGTTTTTCTAGGGAGATGGAAGAGGGCCAGATCGGAGTCTGATCAGTGATAGAGTATGAAGACAGTATTGAGGAAGCTTTCAAAAAGGAGATAGCTCAGGTCCACCCTGGGATGCACCTCTTTTTGCTAAAAAATTATGATGCTCTGCTCCAAATTAATTCAGTATTTCTACCTTTCTTATTCCAGACTATATTATGGCTGCAAACAAAAGATCTTTACAACTGCAACAGCAGATAGCAATGGTTTTTCTCTTCCCCTATACGTGTGGAAAATATTGATGTAATTTCAACTTCTCACCAGAGGAAGCAAACATCTGCAAAAACTCTTGAACTTGTCCTATGCTCATGTGAAACTCCTAAATCTTACATAATATTTCCAATTCATGAAACTAAAATCCTCCAATTAATCTATTTTTTACATGTAATTTTGACAAATCAAAAAACTAAATACACATTAATTTGGTGATAATGACAGTTTTGACCTTGTGACTTTGACTTCCCAGATTATGGGCCTCACCATGACATGGAAGTAGATGTATTCACAGGCCTCTTCACCAGGAGAGAGCGTCAGGTTTTGAGGTTGCATCTTGTTTGGTTGATCCAATATGGCCCGAGGATTGAAACGTCTCTCCAAAATGGAGACATTATACCTGATCCCTATTGGGCCCAAAAACAAGATTAGGAATGATCTTTTCTGTAAAGAAGCACTTTTGATTCTTAGATTAAAAATCACAGTAGTGCAATTAAAAAATGTTCTTGTCTTAAAACACTTCATGAATGCGGGACCAACCTATAGAAGATTACGAACTCGGTAGCCTCAAAAAAAAGTTTTACATTAAGAGTTCATTTAGTTATTTAGTTGTGGTTTTTAAACTGTCATGGAATGAGCAAAAAACAAACAAACTATTAAATAATCATACATGCATTATGTTTGAGGTCAACAAGACAGTTGTTGAGAAGACAGGGAAATATAATAATATGCAGTTGTGTTTTTTTAGTCCTGAAACTCAAAAGGTTTAAGGGCTTTGGAGAAAGATTCCTTTAAAAAAATAAATGACACTTCTGAGTCTACCTCTTAAATAAAATGTCCAGAATTGTTGTAAACATATGGAGAAATTTGATTTGATTGATACGGAAGAAAAAATGGTCAGGCCACAGGAACTTGATGTTTATCAGAACATCTGTCATGCATTACTTGGCTGACATGATAAAGGAAAAATCAAATAAATATATTCTGCATCATCCGGCATAAAGGAGAAGGTAACTCCCCTCCCTTCCTCTTTTCTGTTCTGGCATGGCAAACTAATCCAATAAAAATGGTTCAGGGTCAAAGTGTCAACTGAACACATTCCCTAAATCATAGTCAGGCATAACGGAAGTTACTGCTTTTTAAACAAACACAGAAATACTATTTCATGTGAGTAAACATTGGTTTAAACTTTGATGGTCCAACAAACTTATTTTGACTGTAAGTGCCCCTGTTTCTTAAAGATGCAGCTTTTTACACCATTAAAGCAACATCTGATTCTGACAGAATAGTGCAAATGTAGCAGTGTTAGAGGCAGAAGCTTTTGTTTTTTGGGGAGAAGAATCAGAGATTAGTATCTATTAAAGCTTGTAAAGAAGCCTTTTTCTCTGCATTGAACAACCATTAAATTTTTTAGAGTTATCTGCATGCAAAATGCAGCAGTATTTAGGATCCTATATTATAAATACAGCAGAATGCTGTATCCCTGGTGAGGGGTTCCCAGCATGTCCCACCGGGAGGAGACCCAGGGGGACCCAACCCCGGATAAGGGGAAGAAGATGGACGGATGGATTATATATTTTTTTCTAATTTCAATGAAGTCATATTTACATTTGAAACTAAAATACATTTCTTGGTCCTTATTTAAAAACAAAAGCTAGTATTTGTTTTAGGTCAGAGATTATGTATCCAAACACCACTCTTTAACTCACTTATGAGTGTCTGACCTTCTTAGGTACAACAAGTAAATAAATATAAGATAAAATGGGGTATAACTGACCAACAATTGATACAAATGGAAAGAAGTAAGATGTTGGAAACTCTGCTGAAGCTATTGCTGCAGATTGTTTTTGCTGGCTTACCAATTTCCTGTGTGGGAGGAACGGCCGTCCTGGCAGTGATGTTGAAGCACACAATAGCTGACATGCAAGTCACATCTTTGCCTCCACGCTGACAGTCTTTCATAAAGATGTTAACCTTACTGGGTTCAAACCTGACATTAGTATATATCCTTACGACGCTCTTTGACCTATGAGGGGGAAAAGGATGGGACAGATGAGGCCAATTCAGAGGCCATAACTGTAATCCATGTTTCTGCAAACCAGACTTCTTTAATAAAGTTCACTAATGCTTCTGCTGTCATCATGCTCTGCAAAGTTTAGCATCAAACAATTATTTCAGATACTGACCAGAGGAGAACAGCAGCACCGAGGGAACCCACTGCCAGGTCCACTAAACCATCATCATTCATATCCATGGTGCCATGAATACTGCGGCCAAAATACTGCAGGCCTGCAGCCAAATCTACGGCTGCTATTCTCTGGAGGACGGACAAAAGATAAAGTTTGCAGAATTATCTCAAGACCAGTTAACATGAAAGAGGATAAATGAACAACATGAACTTCATTCTTTTACTGTTTGAAGTAATAATAACATAAATTCCTGTAACATTATTTACAATATTTCAGCTATGTAACCATCTGGTCATAATTCTGGTTTAGCATGAGTGGGTAGTTACAAATAACGTGATTTCTTTAAGATATGTATTGAAAAACATTTAACATTTATCTTGTTCAGGAAATACCATTTTTTGCTTGCTTCTAAAATAGTTACCTTTTTGTTATGCTGGATTTTCTTATGAATAAAAATTCTATTTATACTAACTGTCATAACTCTGTTTGATACTTGAGAAGTTTTATTGAGATAAAAAATAAAATAAAATATAAAAAAAGAACACTAGTCATAATGTACCACTTGTAGCATATAGTCTGTTTATTTTAATATCCAACACACATAAAGATACCTCTCTTAGAATCAAAGCACGCTCTAAAAATAGAAATGCTTTCTATTACGACAAAACATAATTCAGTTTTTCATAAAAATTTGTGCAATTCATCATGGAAACTAAAGGATAGAGTAGAACCGATTTATTTCATGATGTAATTGTCTTTTCATTAGGTTTGTCTAAATTTCTTGGACTGCTTCTTAGAGGGAAAAGGATTTTTTAGAATAAGCGTGAAGTAAGTCATTACCTCTCCAAGGATCTAGCATCTTTTAGTCTTTATCAGTGAAGACGGTCTCTGCTGCTTAGTGCAGCATGTCATTCAGCAATGTTATTGCTTAATGGTGCAAATCTTGTGGCTGTGAAGCAAATGACTGATGTAGGTTCTGTCTCTTAAGTTCTAATGTTTATTCCAAAAACCTTTTTTAACAGATCAATATAAAAAACACAATCTAGTCAGAGGTCACATTATGATTGGCTCACTAGCAGACATGCATGTTAAAAAGCAAAGGACATTATTTTCTTCAGACAATAATCCCTTTGTAAGGCCTTGAGAAGCAAAGCATAAACATAATAGTGTGACTTAAATATTACTGGAACAAACATTGTATTTTGCTTTAAATGCTTTAACATGTTTAGTTTAGTTTTGAATGTTGGTTCTGTGATGTTATTGTCCAGGTGAAACCCATTTGTTTAGGCTGGCTTAAACAACTAAAACTGAAAATGTTTAGAGATGATCTGTGAGAAATGAAGGTACTGTCTATTAGTAGTTATTAAGCCTGAACTGCTCCATTCGGCTTTTGTTAAACAGCTTCAAAACAATTAACATAAAAGGCTGAATTTTGTGCCAGTTTTGTAGCAGCATTACATTTTTTTTGTAAATGTTTAAAAAATATTCAGATTATGCGACACATCCCTCGTTTAATAAGTACTTCTTAGTTTTGTAGTTTCCAATTATGGTACATAATGGTAATAAGGATCTATATAACATTGCACATATTTTACAGGTCAAAAAGCAAACTACTATAAGTTATAACATTAAGAAATTAATTTACAAAAAACATTTTTGGTTTGAGCAATTGTTTTGACACTTAGAGGTTGAAGACAGAAAAAGTTGAGAAGTCATCTTATATTTAAATGGAACCGTTCTAGAAATACCCTACCTGTTTATATTTCCGTAGTATTCTGTTTTGCTGGCTAAAAAAAACATAAATAGCCCCTTTGTGGTCATCCTCCAGCGGCGCTCCCACCACCAAGTCGTTAAAGCCATCACCATTGAGGTCAGGGACAGGAGCGAGGGAGGACCCAAAGCGAGCGTTCTGGCCACCATTGTGAATTTCCAATGCTCCTTCTGGGATGAAACGATTCTAACCAAAGAAAAGAAAGGTTCATGTATCAAACAATACAATCATCTACACTCCTGTAATGTTTTAGGAAAGCTTTAATCACACATAATTTGTTTTTTAAATACCTGAAAGAACCTACACATCCTCTCAGCACATCAGAAAGTTCTAAATATAAGGATGTTTCTCAATATTTACTATTAGTTAAATCCGGTGTCCAGTAGTGTTTATTGTTTGACAGTTTCAGAAATGTGGCTACATAACCTAAGAGGAGCCAGATATGTCTTGGACATTGGATAAATTAATTTGACTCAAACATCCCTGAACATGAAGGTAAAGTGTCCTGCCTAATGTTTCAAGAGCATTTCCCATCAAACTACAAAGATCATTGCTTTGTAAAGTATTCTGATGAGGAACGTCAAAGTCTGTCACTTGGCAGGTCATTTTAAGCTGTAATTTATTGAAGCTCTCTGTAGATGTTCTAAAGTATTGTTCTGCACACGTCATACCATAAGATCCTTTAAACTCTGTCTACGATATGATATGGTGCCTATGTGGAATGGACTTTCACATTCCACACATGTTGCAAATATTCAGTAGTCTATAATTATGAGGGCAGCTTATCACCTCCAAGTCTTTTTGATGTTTGGTTAAAGATTACAGAACAGTTTCAGACATCATGCCAGAGTGTGTAATATTGCTGAACAAAGCGACTTTCGGCTTTGTTCAGAGACTGGGCTGCTAAAACTGATGCTAAAAGAAACTAATCGCAAACACATGAAAAACAGGATTTCCAAGCAGAATATGGTCCTTAGCATCAAATCACACTTGGTTGTATCAGACTCTGAAGGAAGATTACAACATCAGTGATTTTAAGTGAACTAAAATGGAATTTTGATATTTTTTTTGTAAAAATACAAACTGGCACTGCAAGCTGGACAGAAACATGCTCTCAACCTCTTCATTTCACCCTTTTTCCTCTTTTTTGGCATCATGCAGTAAAATGACTTGGCCAAAAATAAGTGGACAATGCTGATAAATACAAGGGTGATAAGTGTAATATTGTCAAAAAGGAAAATAAGGCATATGAGATATCTACTGTCATGATCTTGGCACTGATGACTAGCTTAGTGATTAAATTTCACCCGTCTAACTCTGTCCTGTTTCTCATTGCCATTCATCGGATCCACCTGCTCCTGCTTCTATATAACCTGCCCGCTAACCAGTCATCAGACCTGATTATTCCCCGAGCCAGTGGTGAGTGTTTCAGAGTAATCTTAGAGTTTCTGATTACCTGATCCTGACCTGTTCTGCCTATCAGCCAATGACTCTGCCCTTTCCTGTCTGATCTGTTTGCCTGACCTGTCTTTGGACTCCTGCTGGATTCTGCCTGTTTACTGAATTTGAATACTTCTGAGCCTGGAAAATCTACCATTACTCTAACGTAATATCACTTAAATTCAACATATTTATTAACCTTTACTTAACTCCAACTAAAGAGGTTAAATTAATTTAAGTGAAAACAACCTTTAAATGACAAGAACAAGGAAAAATAATTTAGGACTTACTGTAGAAGAGTAACGCTGATGATTAACAGTGTAATTTTAAATGATAAAAAGGTAAATCTCTTTTTTTGTTTTAACACAACTACTGTATTCTTAGATGCCGCAGAAATTTTGCAATCAGGGATCATTTTAACAAAACTTCTCCAGCTTCAAAATGCATTTTTTTAAATCATTTAAAAAATATTTTCTTGATCTCTCTACATTTAACTTTCAAAAAGAACAATTCAATGGAAAGGGTGTTTAAATCTAACATGATCATGATATCTTATTTTAAAAATAAACTAAAAATGTATACCAACACGGTTTAAAATCAGTACAAATCAAGCAAGAAAGTGTTTAGGATTAAGTTGTGGTTTACTTAAACATGCACAATTTGCTAATCTCACCATTTGCTATGTTCATGTTTTTGTTGCATCTCAAAAAATTGTTTCAGTTTGCATTGTGCTTTTGCTTGAATGGACTTTGTTTCCGGGTTTTTGCTGTGTTTCCCCACCATTGTGGGTGATTTATTGTTTAAACTGAGACTTCATAGGGTGTGCCTGGATAGCTTTTGTTGCATGTACCCATTGCAGTTCTACTCTAGAAGGAGCTGAAGGTTTACTCTTACCTTCTGTTTATTAAATAAGGAACCATATATGACAGACTAAAGACTTTGCCCCAAAATGAGAAGGGATGCAGTATATAAGAATAAATGAATTGTGCCCCTTGCTCCTATGATGCCAGTTGAACCTGCCAACAGCTGATGGTTGCTCACCTAAGATGGCTAGAGGTGATTTAACATTATTTTCACGTTTAATTCTTTTTTTTTGTTTTTATCCTGGTTCCAAATGTTTCTATTTGCTGCACTGTAACTGCTAAACAAGTGAGCCCACATTGAGTATCATGGCATGTTACTGGGTATATACCTTGATTATAGACCTAATTTTATTTTCTTTGTTGCACAAGTGGTTGTGTTTTCACATTTGACAAATATGAGAAGTGTGCTATAGACACATAATAAGGGATTTACAGTAGGTCAATGTTGGCCCCTGGACTACAATAATTTTAGACTCCTTATTCACATGCCAACTATAATTACAGTTGTCTTCTATGTACACATCACTTTAAGGTTTTTAGGAACTTTGGGATGAGGATTTTATCAGAAAAATTCACCAAGGACATATAAAAAAATTTGAAAAACTTTAAAAAAGTGAGCAAAATAATTGTCCAATGTAAAAGCTCTACTTCTTGTGGTACCAATGCAAAAAAAGGATGATTCAAAATAGTTTATTTACTTTTGTGGGGGGTTTTTCTACAGGAAAGTATGTCCTTGCCCTGCTTCCTATATAATGGAAATGCATATTTCATCTGGCAAGCCTTTTGTTTCTGATTCAAACGCTGATTGAGTTGTCAGAAAACAATCCATCTTTTCATTTAAACTCTTTATACAAGAACAAAAAGTTATACTGATAAAATGAACCCTGATGGATGTAAGGCATAAAGCTTTACATTCATCAGGGTTCATTTTATCAGTTATCTTCAAACCATCCTCAGATGATACACGAAGTGTAGCACATGTATTTCTTTTTGTCATCCTTCTATCTAATCACATAGAAGACTAAGTTTGGATTAACATCTGTGTTTTTCACATGACTCTTTGTTTTCCTTTTCTTTGAACTGAAACATCTGGCACTAAAAACTAAAGAATTTTACCTCTGGGTTCTGAAAGGACCAAAGAATGCATTATAGTTAGGGATATTTATTTGAAGTCCTATTCTTAGAGAGTGCTAAGCCAAATGGAAGATAACCGTGACTTTAGAGGAAACTAGACTTCTGGAAAATATTTTAGACTAAAGTCTAAGAAAATGGCACCAGAGTCCATTAGTATTCATCCATATCATTGCTCCATTTGGCATCAAACAGTCAGACAGTAATAAAACGCAGGGCTGCCAGATTAAACATGAGCTCACTTGTTTTTTCAGTTGTGCAAATGTAACTGGAGTTGATTTAAATCGGTGGCTTCTATTTCTCAGCTACCTGATGTGAGCTTATGTGACAAGATGGGAGATTTATTAGGAAGCAGGGAAATGCAAACATAATCCTTAAAGTGAAAACAGACGGTTAGTGAGGAGGCATCAAGATGTCGTGACCAGTCCACAACTGTATTGATGTCAGACAGTAAAAAGCAGAGAAATTTATGTTTTTTAATCAGCTGTCAGATTTTAACATATTTTTTGAATGAATCTCGTAAGGTGTGGTTAAAACTGATCATAATGTGCTGTACCTGTCTTTAAATCCAATTCTCTACTCTATTAAGTTCTCTACATCAACTTAATAGTTACTAAAGGAAAACTTCAATAGGCTTCATGATGTTACTACTCCAACACACCTTATTTACTCTGAACTAAATATGACTGACAAACTCAGGAGATAATTAAATCATTTAGATCATGTGTGGTAGGAAAGAAACAAAGAAGCACAGAAACATACAATATCAGGCACTCATTATTTAAAGACTATGCAATTATATATATATATTTTTTAATTTAAAAGTAAAAACTTTACTCTAGACCACCTTTCAGCTTATCCCTATATGTGTAGTAAATGTACAGGTGCTCCTTCTTAATTATTCAAGAGTTTATTTTATTTCAGTGGAGGCATTTTGGTACAGTAGCTCGTAAGTTCATTAAACCGGTATATATATATTTGAATTGAGCCACTCCTAAATTAGAGACAATGTCAGAAATGCCTTTGTTGGAGAGAAAAAGATGGTGGAGTGTTGTTACATGATCATATATCTAATATTATTAAATTGAAATTCACAATTAATTTGGATTCAAGGTTCCAGAGTCTGGAATAGTAGAGAAGCACAGAATTCAAATAGGTCATCTGTGTCTTTCGAAGTCCACAGTCAACACTACCATCTACCAGGATATTTTATCACACTTCTTGGTTCTTGGTTCAGAGAATTAGAAAAAAAGTAGAATGGGAGGCAAATAATTTAGTTATCAAGCTCTTCGTCAGTGGAACCAACTACCAATTTATTCTACCCTGTTTACGTTTAAGGCAAGACTTAAAATGTTACTTTATGATAAAGCTCATAGTTAGACTGGCTTGTGTTATCCTGAGCTTTCTCTACAGTTATGCTGCTATAGGCTTGGACTGCTGGAAGACATAGGAACCACGTTTCATCATTCTTTTCCATTCTATCTCTATTCTCCCATTCTCCAGTATTTTTTTGTTGAATCCTGAATAAAATTCTGCTCTCTCTGCTTTTTTCTCATAGTAGCTTAATCTGGTCTGTTCCTGTTTGGCTGTGACTCCATCCTGGTGAGAAATATCAGCTGTGCTGCTGCCATCANGTTATCAAGCTCTTCGTCAGTGGAACCAACTACCAATTTATTCTACCCTGTTTACGTTTAAGGCAAGACTTAAAATGTTACTTTATGATAAAGCTTATAGTTAGACTGGCTTGTGTTATCCTGAGCTTTCTCTACAGTTATGCTGCTATAGGCTTGGACTGCTGGAAGACATAGGAACCACTTTTCATCATTCTTTTCCATTCTATCTCTATTCTCCCATTCTCCAGTATATATTTGTTGAATCTCTAAAATTCTGCTCTCTCTGCTTTTTCTCATTGTAGCTTAATCTGGTCTGGTTCTGTTTGGCTGTGACTCCATCCTGCAGAGAAATATCAGCTGTGCTGCTGCCATCAACACCTTTGTTTATATATGTTGGAGCTTGACGTGTTTTTCAGTGTAGTCCTGTTTCTCTTACTGTGACAAACCATTTGTGCCCTCTTTCATCCTCTGACATGGGAAATGGCGCAGACCCATCTGCCTGGCTTTGTTTCCTAGATGGGGCCATATCTGGGGCTTGTTTACAATTACCTTTTGTATCTCTGTTTCTTTCTGTATGTCAGCCTCTGTCTCCTTGAACCCCAGTCTGGCTTTGCCGCAGGTTTCTTCTTGTTAAAAGGGAGTTTTCCTCCCCACTGTTGTTACATGTATGCTTGATTGGAGGGATTACTGTCAAGTCAGTCAGTCAATAAAATCAGTTGTTTTTCTTTAGATAGAAAACTTTGAACCAATCTGACTGGATGATCTGGTTGAATTTTCTCTGTAAAGGGTCTTCAAATGACATACTGTGTGTTGTGAATTAGTGCTTTATAAATTAACTGAAATGGATTAAACTTCATGCTTCCTTCTGTCTGCAAGATTGATGGAGTCAGCTCTACTTTTCCAGTATATTTGTGATGATGAACTGTGCAATCTTCCCTGTGCTCTTTTTGGCCATAATAAATAGTTTCTGTGTTTAAAAGCCTTGAAGCTTTTAATCTGTTAGTCTTTTTACAATTTTAATCATTTAAATGAATTAAAGTGATGAACGTTAAATATATATGTCTTTCTCTGATCCATCTAAAACAAAGACAAGAGTTTATCTTCATTAAGTAAATGACTGACATTAATTGCCTTCTAATTTAGTAAGATCGACCTGCATACCCCTGTTTACAAGATAGTAGCTGTTTTTTTTTTTTTTCAAATTAACCTTTGCTTGCTTATTTTTATTTAGTTTATAAAAGTTTTACAAACTTGGGAAACAATTCTGTCTGGATTTGTTTTTTAGAGAATTAAGTATATGTGTTTTTGTGTGACTAAATAGTCTTATATAACTATAATTTACCTGAGAGTAAGAAAGCCTAAAGCTTTTTTAGATACATCAATATGCAAAATATACAAATTTTAAAAAAGTTTAGTCATTAGAAGGTAACATGTTTATAATGCAGAGTTTATCTGCTTGGTGTATCAGTATTTATCTATTTTATTTATTTATTTTTTACAAAAAATGTTAACCTCAAAATAACAGACCCCTTCTCAAATATTTAGTAGGACCACAGAGATGTATAAGTGGTTTTCCAGAACCAAACCACAAAGCTGCATCTTTAACAACACCTGAATAAACCTCATTATTATTATTAACTGCCCTGAACATGTGGCAATTCTGTCCTAATGATGAGATGCATTGCTAAGATGTGTTTATGTTTTGTTTGGAAGATGAGGCTACCACCTGTGATGTGGTTTTGGCCACAGCAGACATTTAAAAAGCTCATCTATGCCTGCTCTGTGAATTTAAACCAGCTGAGGACATTAATTTTCCGAACAAGTGAGACAGACCTGGAAGAAAAAGAAGTTTCTTTCCTTTAAAGAGCTGGGTTTAGAAGGGATAGAATACTTTCCTTCTGAGTTCATTCTGCATCTCTTATAAAGTCTGAATGCTGGCATGATGAGGTTTTCTCATTTGATCAGGAAAAGGTCATGTGTCAAACTCTGAGAGTGCCAGTAGGTTTTTGTAACGGGACATTTCTAGTTGTGTGTTTGAAATAAAAGTGGGAACATCTGGATTTGAACAGGTGTTGACCCAGCTGTGTAAAATTGGGCTGATTGGTCCAAGCCTAATTAAAACCGTTCTGTGTTCAGCATCTGTTTATTAAAAAAGATTACCCACCAGTTCAGTTACTCTGTAGATGTAGACCTTCCCTTTCTCCAAGCCTGCACTAAAAAACATTGGTGCTGCCACCAAAAGGTTGTCAGTTATGCCATCTCCATCGATATCCAGAGGTGCAATCTCACTACCATAGTAGGAGCCGATCTGAAACAGAGACATGAATACATGGTCTATCACATATTACTGCCTGGAACAATTGAGTGGATAATTGACAACATTTAAGTATTCTTAAAGCTCTGAACAAGGTGTTTCTTGTTGTCACTCTTTCATTATAGTCAGGTTTCTTGAGCATATAAGATACAGTTCTCTTGTCAGTAGTTATCATGTCCAAGCTGTGAATCTTCGCACCTAAGCTCACGCTGACCAACCTCTGGCTCCACCCCTGAACCAGTGCGGGGTGCAGCAGAAAATGATTGTTGTTGATAATTTTTTTCAAACACTTAATAAAAAGCAAACATAAGTAAATTAATGAAGTCATAACAAAACAAAGCAAAACAAAAAAGAAGAAAAAGAAAAAAAAAACATATGTACATACCATCATGTTCGAAAAGGAGTAGGAAGAAGTAATAAAACTTATTAAATTTATACCCCTGTTCGCATCAGATTGACTCTGATGCTGTAGCCACCTCAGCTTTGGCTTGGGCAGCAGAAATGTTCTTTGGAGGAACAGAAGTTCACATTGGTTCGCCTTCTTTCCGATGGTTCTAGTGCAAAACTCATTACAGTACCTCTTTGCATAAATATAAATTCTCATCCTCTACTAGTCCCTCTGTTTCCTTGCATATTTGTTTTTTCTATTCTGTTGACGACTAGTCAAGTTGTGCAGGTTGTTTGGCTGGTTTCATTCTGATACTTTCAAGAAGTATTTCCTAGCCAGTGCCTGACTTTTACCGTTTGACTCTGGAAATTGAGGAACTTGATCTGATAGCCGCCGCAACAGCCGGCCAAACGTCCTTCATGCAGAATCATTCCTGCGCATATGCATCCTTTCTGCATTGCGGAGTATACATGCTGGTTTGGGTTCCTTGCAACTGCTGACTACGGTCAATGCCCCTTTTTGTAGCCTCTGTCAGTAAGGCAATGCATGCTTTTCCTGACAGTTTCCTGGACAAACATGCCTTACTGAATTTACTGCTGTGTCACACTTTATCAGATGTTTGAATAGTGGGTAATGTGTCGAGGTTTGAAGAGGACCCAAGGGCATAGACACAATGATAAGTAACAAAGTTCTTCAATAATTAAATAGAGGGAATTTTTCTTTCCTTCTCCCAGCTATGGACTACAGAGTATCAGACAGTCTAAAGGGAAATCCAATGACAAACAATGAAAAAACATAGTTTAAATACAATGAGAAACCAACTAGAAACAGCATTGGAAGAATGACAGCGGGTTGACTGAGGCAGAAAGACTAATTAACAAATAGGTAAGAGAACTAAGAACAAATAGGTAAATATTAACATTGATCCAAGAAAAATAAGTGGGGATATTTGGGATAATGTTATAAAGAATAACATATCTAGGATCTTCTCTGGCCTGTCTAGTGTTTTTTTCGACTCATGATGATGTATGCTTTTCTTTTAATATATATATTTTTCTAACCTTTATGTAATCAGATAGGGAACAATTGGAACCATTTTTTTTTTACAACTACAGCTTGGCGTTAATGGCCATTATTGTTCTTTTACAATAATCTGAGACCTTCAAAGAAAAGTTGTCACTGATTCTAAAACTGTTTAAATTTCTTTCAAAGGTTAAAATCAATTCAATTAAGTTTATTTCTATAGCGCCAATTCACAACACATGTCATCTCAAAGCACTTTACAATTCACCAGATCATACAGTCAAATTGATTCCAAGTTTCCTGCATCGACTCATTGATTCGAAGGCCATTCCTCACACTAAGCCTGCTTTTAACGACAGTGGAGAGAAAAACTCCCTTTTAACAGGAAGAAACCTCCAGCAGAACCAGGCTCAGTGGGGTTCAAGGACAAAGAAACAAACATAGGAAAAGAAGCAGAGATACAAAAGGCAACTGTCAAGTTAATTGATGCTCTCTTATTAAGAGGCATCAGAGTGAAGAGGGCTGTACAAAAATGTCACACATCTCTTACACTCGTTTTTCGTGTATCCTTTTCCTTTTTCATCTCAACAGTGGAGTACTCTGTGTCACTTTAATCTTCCAAAGTCTCAATAAATGCAATTAAGTTTTTGGTGTTACTTTAATAATAAGAAAATGTTTAAAAGGTACACATTTTTTTTTTTTTTTAAAGGATATGTATTTTAATGCTTCTTTACCTTGAACAGCTTTTTACAGTAAATATGCCATTAATTTAGTGAAGAGCTTGAGTGCATTTTGAACCTGAATATTGTAAGAATAATGAGTCACAATAATAATGCTTTGAAGGCTTAACAAGTTTTACAGAGAGTATCAGAATCACACACTTGGATAACAGAAACGTTATTTCTTTTGAAAAAGAAATGAAACATCTGGCTATAAAGTAATAAAAAAATACATATACTTTAGAGCAATGAGATCAAAGAATAATTCAGCAGAACAAAACATCTGTTGCTCTGGATAACTTGCTGTTGACAAGTGACAATGTAAGCTGAAATAAGATCATTCCAGGCTTGCAATCTGTGATGTGATGCCCGACAAGAGCCACTGACACATAGCCAGATTTACTTAAAACAGTGCTGGATTTAAACTTATTTTCTGTTGACACTTCAGCCTTAAAATGATATCTGCTTTTGTATTTTTGACTAAATACACAAAAACATTTTTATACATCTAAAAGCACTATTCTAAAACTGTCCAAGCAACATATAGAAGATGAAGTTTTAGCTACATTTCTAAACTGAGGGAAAAAAAGACTCATGCTCATATCTGGCTACATTTCTTGTCTGAGATTCAAGAAATACGAGCCAAATCCATTATGGTTCTAAATACAGTATTGTAAATACATCATAAAGAACAAAGAGGTCCTATTATTTTGGTAGTGTAAGTAGGTTATGAAATATAAATCAATATAAAACCAACAGTTTGTGCATATATACTGATGTGTGCATGCTTTTCTTGTAAAGGGTGAAACTATAAGATAAAGGAAAATGAAAAGAAAAAGAAGCATTTTGGAATAAAAAAATGTTCCTCTAAAAACATTGGATAGACTTCTGTAATTTCACTGAGAAAGTCTTCTGCATTTTACATATTTTGCATTTTGGTGTCTATTTATTTCCAATTGTAACCTTAATTTCCCCCCATTAATGTTTTAAATCCTGGCAAACTTTAAAAAATGAATGTAGCTCTAACTCAAATATGGCTTCAGTTGGTTACAAGCAATAGGGTTAAGTTTACCCAGCTTAATCTATTCACAGTGGCTTAACTTGACATCACACTGCAAAAAAATAAATTCTCAATAAGCCTTTTTTTAAAAAAAACATAAGTGCATTTCTTTCTCGAAATGAGGAGTTAAGTGAGACACTTTGCCAATGGAATAAAACAGGAATGGAATTTACATTTAAAATAAGAAAAAGTAATTGCATTGTCTTATTTCAAGTGAATATTATCTATTTTTTTGTTTAAGGAGTAAAAATATTCATTCCATTAGCACATCATCTGATTTACCTACTCAAATTAAGGTTAAATACACTTAATTTAAGAAATGTTTTTAATTCTTCATAGATCGTTTGCAGTGCATATAAACTAAACTAATTAGGTTGGCTTAACTTGTAGCCAATTAAAACACTCCATTTATTTTCAAACTGCGTTCTATTTTAGAGTACAATGCATATTTTTAAAGAACTAACCAAATTTTTCACATTGGTGGTTCCATGTCATACAATTGTTATCTATTTTGTTAAAAAAAGGCTGTTTGGTAGCTATTTTAGATAAGTTTGAGATTAGTGAAGTGGAAGCGGCGGCTGTACCTGATGGCCCTTGAGTGAGTGCAGGATGGTGAGATTCCCCGTATTCTTCAAAGTGAAGACAATGACTTTGCCAGTGTGGTTAAATCGTGGAGCTCCTGCTACTAACAGGCGACCATTTCTGGATGACACCACGGATGTTACAGTATATCCTGAGGATGTAAGAACAACCAGACATGCACTTTATTCTTTACATTTATCGATACTTTACTCCCAGATTAGAAATGTCCCTTAATCTTTTAAAATGCACATGATTAGTCAACAGATGTAAGCTTATAGTTAAAAATGTTCTACATAGTTCTTTGGTATTCAGAGCAGTTTCCTGCATCAGACAAACACATTACAAAGCTTTAAATGCTGCAAAATAGAAGCGATCCTTTCAGTAGTTATTGACTGTCTCTTCCACCACTGTTAGCAGGCTTGATTTTTGAGTTTTTCTTGTATGAGAATAAGTCGATTACAGTTATGACTTTATGAAAGCCACTTTATCTTTACATAAAGATGAATATAGCTGGATATAGCTTAAAGTTATTACTTTAGCTATGAGTATCTGAAGGTGTCTCTGTAGTTATGCTTCTATAGGATTAAGTTCCTTGACTACCTTACCTTAAAAACATTATTTGCAACTCTTTCCTCCGCTCACTTTGTGTTGTTTGTTTTCTACTTTCTATTTAAAAAAAACACACCTCTGGCTAAATGGTTCTGTGTTCTGCTGTATTTTAAAACATGGCAATGAATTATCAATAAATCTAATGTAATAAAACTGTTCTAGTCATTATTTATGTGTACTCCAATAAAAAGTAATCCTGGACCAGTACTTTTGTTTTATTTGTTTTTACTGTGTTCTTTTTTTCCCTGTAAACAATAAGTCTTTTATTTTGCCTACTCAGTAAGGAGTGGGTCCCTAGATTTATCGGTTTTACTGACTGGAATTAAATTATTCAGTAAAATACATTTAATGTTTGAATTTAATATGACTAAGACCATTTTTTAGTTGTAAAGTGCACTGTTAATATCTCTGTTTAGAATTGACATTAGACCACTGATCTGGTCATGGTAAGAGCACATATCTGTTTTTCTGAAATGAATTAAGTATCTACATAAGTAAAATAGGAAAAAGATAGACTTTTTGAAGGACAGCTACGGCTTGGAGGATTAGAAGCAAAAAAACAATTTATCCCATGGGGGAAAATATAAATGACCCCAGTAAAAAACAAAACTGAAGCTTGATGATCATGGGAATTGTGAATCCAAATAATCAACTAAAGAAAATACTTTGCTTTTCCTGAGTGTCAAACTACACCTTAATTATTATTATTATTATTTTTTTTTATGTTTTATCTTCTTACAGTGTTTCTTTAACTTACCTAAGTATGCACCATGGTTTTTGAGCTCTTCAGGAAACTCCTGCATGTAGGATGACTTTGGGGGGATCACCTTCCCCTGTCGTGTTTCCTTCAACACCGCTCCATTCCAGTCATAAGCACCAACTGCACCCACCAGAATCCCATCCTGAAGGTGGAACCAAGGAAAGGGTTTACACCTTCAAACAGTTTAATATGCCTGTATAACAATCAAATGGCATATAAACTCATGTCTATCGTTAGACTTCAACATCATAAAAATGTTGCTCTCTAACCACCTTTCCAGAGTGCAGAAAGAGGCTGATTCATGGCATGGTGTGAAGGTTTTTGTTTTAAAATGTTATGAACAAAAGACTTATGAAATGGCTAAATAACTGCAAACATCTGGAAAAAAAATAAACATTTCCCATGCTCCTTTTAGTCATCTTCCTTTAGTTTAAAGATTTCTTAGAGAAGATTTTTGGATTTAAGTAACACAAATTAAGGAGATACATAAAGTAGCTTATCAAAAGCATGTTTCAAAATATTTTTGCGTTTATCATTGAGGCACAGATATAAAAAGGGACAGTAATAAAGTATATAGAATTGAATATAACTTTAAATATAGTTCCCAGTAAGGTGTGCATTCAGTAGATACCTTTATGCTAAGATTTAAAATAAATGGAAATGTAAAATTGGAAGATCATTGGTAATCATGCCTTTCCATACAGCTGTACTTCAATCCAAGGTTTTTGACAACAATTGTGAAAGGTGCTAGATTAATGAGAATATGTGGGCCAAAAAAAACAATTCATGTTTTTTTTTTTAAGAATTCAGTTTGATGTAGGCAACCAGGAATTCACCACAATTAGAGTAGGGTATATTTTAGCCACCTTAGTCAGACGGTGACAATGTCACCAAAAGATGAGTACATATCAGATAAAATGGGACACATCATTAAGATGAAGTGTGACATGCACGATAAATACAAGCACCATTTTCAATATGGAGATTACAGTTGAGTTTTTAAAAGAGACCATTTCTTTTTTGACCCTCTGTCTCAGATTTTTTTTATATAAATGGGGATGGAGGTTGATGCGTGGAACCTTCGATACTTTCTTTTAAATAGAAATCTATGATGGGAATCCTTAACCTGATACAGAACTATTTGTGTGTTATTATGCTATTCCATAATGCCAATGGCAAATAAACCCAGAAATTGAGACAGAACTGTCTCTTTTTTTTTTTTTTACAGCTTTTCTATTTACTAAAATTATTGTTTTAGACCCCTGACCTCAGCTTAAGTTATGATGTTTTGTTTATTCTTTTAGATTCTTTATGATGACACGCAAATTCATTATCTCATTTTACAGCCACAAAATGTGTTCAACTTGGCATTGACCCAAACCAAAGGAGCAAAGAAGGCAATAAAATGGCCCACAATCAGCCCTAAAGACTTAATCTGTTTTTCTTAAACCTAACTTAAAGAAAGGAAAGTAACCAGTGAACGCATTCAGCTGCAAATAGCAGGAGAATTAGGTAAATGATCTTCTATGTTCCATGGTTCACCATTCTTTGTATGTCTGACATGATAATTATAGGGTTTCTGGGCATAATGAGTTCATTTTTTTTTCCTTGTTCACCATATTGTCGCCAATACACTATCGGGCATGTGTGTGAGAGAACTTGCGATTTCATCCTGAAAAATGGAACCGCGTGCTCGCCACACTTACACTACGTCACTTTTTAACAGCACTGCTATGCCAGTGCGGTTGTCGTCATGGCAAAGTGGTCTCTCCATGGTAAATGGTTGAAATCCCAGAACAGTTTAGCCTCAAGAATGAGTGACCTCTTTCTGCAACAGTTTCTTGTATGGTAGAAGGCCAACTGTCTAGTTTTACATACGTGACCTTTAGTAGTTGGTGAGAATACGTTCTCACTCAGCTAATAAAAAGCTAAAATATATAATTTAAAAGGAAGAGAATGGACAAATACTGTGGCAAAGTGGGGGTCTTCTTCTTATTTTTTTGTTATTAGCTGCAGGAAATTGCAGTAAGAAAAGGCTGGCTGTATGTAGATGCATGAAACATCTGCAAAGTATATGACATAAGCCTCATTCAAAGTTGACACTAATTACACTCAGTAAAACCATCTGGGCCCTGAGGACTGCTTTTCTCTTTTAAAAGTTCTTTCCAAAATGTTATCCTACTTTCAACACTCAGGCTGGCGTTGTTGAGAATCTCTGGAATCTGGCTTCGTGGACACAATTTCCAATCATCATGCCACCCAGCTGCAAACTCTTGTATATTTTTATTCCAAGTCTAATATATGAATTTTTCCCTTAATAAAATCCAATGGGAAATAGGCTCAGATACAAAGCAAATGCATTAAGTTATATGTTGAAAGGGACCAGAAAGAGAAGAGTAACAAAATGAAATGAGGAGCAGGTACAGTAGAGATAAAGTATCTTTCTTCTTTCAGCTGTACTGCATGAAAAGCCAGCACACCTGCAACCCTTCACCCTTAAATACTTAAATTCAAGCTAAAACTTCTAGGAAATTTAAAGAAAAGCAGGTCATTCTGTGGCTAAACTGTCTGAATCCAGTTGAGATCCTTCACCAGTAGGTTTCCCTTGGGAATACAAAGCGTCTCATTTCTCATTACTGCATAGTTGAAGTGGAAAAAGTCTGTCTGCCTGTCAGGTGCTGCTAAATCAGTGTGAACCTTAACATCTGGAGTCATGCAATTCCTCTGAAGGGACACAAGTGATGAATGACCCATTGTGAGGAGGGGCTCCAAATCAACAGAAATTGAGACAATGTGTGTTGGTTTACACATTGACAGATGGCGTGAAACAGCAGGGTAGCATCAGACAGACTTACCTCCACGTTGTGTGCGGAAAAACCTGCCTGAGACATCTGGAGGCCAAACGCCGTTCCGTTCTTACTGGTTCCTGTGTAAATAAGACTGTGTAAACAACAAGTGTTTTGAAGTGTCGCGGTCACAGAAAGCATCAATTTTTAAGGCAGAATACTTTCAACAACAGCATTGGTGTTTTATAGCTTTTTACAGTTTATAGATTATTTGTCAAAAATTTTAGATCTTGTCTTAATGGACAAAGGAACACTTCAGTCTCCTATCTCCACAATTTTAACAACAATCTATAAAACAATAAACTTTTTATTATTTCCGTCAGATATTAATTTGTCTACTTAATTTATATTTTCTATTTCTATATTATTTTATTTGCTAAATGCCTAAGTCATAACTTGTAATAAAAGAAATTCACTGAAGTTCAGTGACTCACATTTACTTTCTAGAAGCAGACTCATTGAACAGTATAGAATCATCTCCTCTCCTTTTGTTGCAGTTTATTCCAGTTTTTAAAGGACTCGATAGGGGAAATACAAAACACCACCAGTATGTATATCAAAATGCAGCTAAGGATACTTCTCATACTGTGCTTTTTGGAATGTCAGTGTTAAAGCACTTATTTTTCCTAAACTTTGGAAGTGATGCTACTGTGGCTGAGCCCTGCAGATCCCACTTTGGCTGCCTAAGGCCGGCTTTACTGTCATTGAGAATTACCTGCTGCCAGCAGGATAACTAACAATATACAGAATTACATTATTTATAGAAATAATAATAATAAAAAGCCTTCAAACTATTTAATTCCAGTTTTAAAAGAATTTCATTTATCATTCTGCCTTATCCATGTATGAGGCTAACTGTCCTTAGTGTAACAAAGCAATTATCTTCTACATGTAGAAAATATACAGAAAACAGGAGTACATTGTTTCTTTGCTGTAAAAAAAAACAAGAAAAAATTAAACAAAAACCTTGCATGCTGTTTTTTTTTTGTTTTTTTTTTACTGTATTTTCATTCGCTATTAGATTAATGCTCTATCATAGATATAGGCGCAGTAAAAAGTTTATTTTTGTGAGTCGGAACAGTGAGATCTGTGCTTGAAGTGTGTTCATATTTACAATAAAAGTTGTAGCTTTGACTAGGAAAATATTTCCTCAATATTGAGTGCCCACAGAGCATCATAGATGTACAAAACAAATATGACATGTAGCTAGAGTTGAACTGACTAGCAAATAAAAGCAATATATGTTGAGCTTGCAAGCTTGTTGTCATCAAAACATAAAGCACTTTGTTTTACGTGTTTGGTAATAAAAACCAAACTTGCATAACTTTGTAAATCAACATGTCAGAAGTTTACAAAGCTATTATATTAACACAGCTTTGAAACAACACAGAAATTCTACAAGAAAAGAAATCTTTCTTTGAATTTTAGGTTTTTTTCACATTAACTGCAACACATTTAAGCACAAAGTTGGCTTTTAAAATTAGCTTTTTACCAACCTTCAAGGCTAAATATTCGCTCCCCAAGAGCATCGACAATATCATTCAGAGCTGACTCATCTGTCACATTAAAGAAGTGTTTGTCATCGGGGTCACTGGCGATGTATTTGATTTCATTTAGGAAGGCTTCAGGATTAATTCCTCTGCGGTTGTAGTAGCCGAGCACCTGTAAGGTAAGAATTGACAAAATGTCCATTTTTAGGTTTCTGACTCATGACATATTTACAGTTGCTTAAATTGAAGAGCACACCCTCTCTTTATCGAGGTGTAACCATAAAAGTTTACCCGTGTCTAAACCTATTTAAATAAAAAATACATATATTTTGGCAGAGTGCATCTATATTAAATACAGACAACTTTGAGCATTACCAACAAATGCTACTAGTTTTTCTAATTTCTTTGCTGAACTTGAATAAGCTGAATGTAATATTAAACAGACATCTGAATGCTAACTCCAAAGTCTAATAAAAACCCTATCTTTAGTATGATAATACATCATTACCTTAATGAAATAGAAGGATAGATATATAGTATCTCTGTGTTCCTCCACTAATGCTAGTTTTTGTTTTGCTCAGATAGTAACAAAAAGCATATCTACCTTAAAAAAACTTTAGAATATGATTAGCTCTCTCAGCACTGTTGCACCACTAAGTCATTTGGTCTAAGAGAGATAATTTACGCCTTGAACTATAATTCCACAACATTGTTGATTTTGCCCTAGAGAGGCTTTTGAATAGTATTTTGATGGACTTTACCAAAAAAAGTATGCTGAATTATAATGCAAACTCCTGTTGTTGACTCACAGCAATGGCATAACGAGTAATGCCATCCTTCTCGCTGTCCTCAATGGCCTGTTGGAGATCTGCGTTGTCATGTGACTCTCCGTCAGTTATAACTATCATTACCTTCTTGGCCCCCCGTCGACCTCCTTGCTTGAAAGCTTGTGAGCTGAAATAAGATAAATGTTTTCAATTAAATGCCCAAAAAGACCTAGTTGAGTAGATCTGCTTATTGATATGCAAGCTGCACCGAGCTGTACTGATGCCAAGAGCCGTGTTGGTCTCCTCTCCACCCCGCTGATCAATGCTGCGAGCCCTTTTTACCACCTCCTCCACTGATTTGTAGTCACTGAGTTTGAATTCATGCACCACTTTCTCACCATACTGGACAACCCCAACCTGCAAAAAATGAAATTGTTAAAGAAAAACATCTGAAGAATCTTATTCTGGGTGACATAATCCTGAATCAATGGTATGGGTTCTATAAATCAGCAAAAAATTAAACAAAATGATTCTTATACAATTTATGAGGTTAAAAAAAACGAATAATCGTTTAACACCCTTTCGGGGTTCATCTGATTGATTTTGAGCCAATGAAAAAGATCCGAAACATGTTTCAATATCTAAAATAAACTGACTAAATAAAAAAATGCTGTTTTTTTTCAAATAAGAAATATTGATTTTTGTTTTAAATTAAAATATTTTCAGGGAAAGAAATCCAAACCGACCAACCAACCATTGACCAAAGAAACAAACCCTTTATTTTCCACATTAAAGTTTTAATCCCCAATTCTAAAAAAGAAGAATTTGTCAAATTCCTCCTCAATAAAGTCATTGCTGCTAAAGGTAGCAGAACCTATGAGGCTATTGCTTTTGTCAGGAGTCGGCTGCTTTGAAATGAATCTCACTTATGAGGGGGTGTTGGCGTAGTGGTTAGAGCAGTGAGCTTGTGCTCTGAGAAGGTTGCAGGTACATGGTTCGAACCCCACAGACTGCCACTCTGGCTCTCTAAGCAAGACCATTAACCCCACACTGCTCCCTGGGCGCCGCACAATGGCAGCCCACTGCTCCCCCACGAAATGGGTTAAATGCATAGAGACATTTTCACCATTGTGAGATCAATAAAAGTTCAATTCTATAACTTTAGTATCCTCTTTTGAATGCTTGTGTTTTGTATAAAGTCAGTGTGTTTTATTTAATAGTAAAATGTGTTTGATCATCAGAAGCAGGCATTAGATGCAACACTAGTGGCTCTAGTTTAAGTGGCTATCTCAGTTTTAATCTTTGTTGTCTGTTTCTTCCCACCTGTATTTGACCTGGTCCAACATGGAACTTCTGCAGAATGTTTATGAGAAAGTTCTGCACTTCAGACCAGGGATAGATGGAGTTGGAGCCATCGAGAACAATGACTATGTCCATAAAGGTTTCACATCCTTAAAGAAAAAAAAGAAACATATGTTCATGCATGCAAATATAATCCCCTTCTGTGATTTAGAGCCATTGGGGGATGGTTGTCAGACAAAAAAGATGTTTAAAAGCTTACTCTGAAAGGCAGGGATAATCGTTCTGGAAAACTTGAAGCTTGCATTAACTTTGGAGCATATTCCAGTACTGTAGTAAGAACTGCCACATTCATATGACCATAATGGTCCACAAGCCTGAAATGAAAAAGAAGGTGTTTATAGAGGCAACAACTAAGTATATCCTCTAAGAAGAAACTCAGCAGTACGACCATGTAATCAAAAGGCCATCTTGTTGCCCCTTTTTTTTTTATCTTGACAACTAAAATCTTAATAAATATTTTTCAAAGATCCATGGTTTTATTCAAATCCCTACTCACCACAAAGCTGCTGTCTTTGGGGTTAGACACGAGCGTCATACCCAGCCTCATCTTGTTCTTTCGTTCTGATACGTTGGTCAGAGATATCTTTCCTTGAAGGAAAAAGAATTTCAATGATAGGGCCTCGGATGAACAGCTTCATGCATGCAAATACAGGCTTTCTCATCTGGGACTGTGGTTTGTTATTGCTGTCTGGCCAGGCAAACTAGTGTCCACATCTTCAGATCTAAATGTTTACGAGGCTAAACTTCAACTGATTATCCAACCAGCAATACACCTGCAAGCCGTATGAACAGGCAGGCAGTAAAAATTTGTGGTAAAATACACACATGGAAGTATACATAAACCATTAAGAAGTGGAATGACTGGTATGGTACCCAGACTCAGGCATTTATAAACACACTTATCTGAAACCATGATTGTCAAACTGTGGTATGTGAGCCCCTTTTGGCAGAGAGGCAATCTTGGAATTATTATTTACAAGGTAAATAATAAACTGTGTACTGTGTACCATAGAATATATTATAATACAACTGCTGGTAGATGTTTGTGGGTTGAAATACCTCTGAAGTCCAAACTCAATATACTAAAGGCATGAAAGAGGATTCTGTCATGGAAGATATTTCCGACGGCTGCTTGTATGTTTTTGAATTGTGCGAATGTGTCAGTGCCCCCTCCGTCTCTATGCTGGAAACGCCTCCGCCGCTGTAATGCCCAAAAATATCTGCCTGCTGAGAATTACACCCCCCCTCACACACTGATGAGAAAACAGACTGAAATATGAAGAAAAAGAGAACTTTTAAAGATATTCTTAATTTTGTTCATATTTCATATTTGGATGCCTAGAAATATCTACCTGCCATAGCAACAGAGCTCTGTTTTGTGTATTTACAACAGTATGCTTGAAAATAACACCCGTTAAACTTTTACCAATAAAGACGTTATAAAAATTTAGAAAACTTAGATTCTCCACAATTTACAATTAGCTCAAAAAAAGCCGCAGCAGTGAACAAGCTTAGAAGTACTTCTTTGTACTTCGGCGTAATGGCGAACCGCTAGCCAGACAGCATGTGAGTTACGGTTGGAGCCTACGTAAATAAAATCAAGGCGACACCTACGCAAATTGTTTGATTGACAAACAAGTAGTCAATCCACTTTCAACAGTAGGCAAAATTAATTGGCTAATGTGTTGTAGGCACCATCACGCCCAGAGTTTATGGATTTTAATTGGTGGTTTTTTAGGCGGGGCATAAGTGCAAGAATGCCATCCATCAACCAGTTCATTTTAGATTAATCTGGACACTTAATTTCGGAGAAAAATCCTCTTTAATTCCTTTAAACCGAAATTGACCTCGGTTCCACTTCCAGATCATAAAAATATTGGGAGCTACACATATGTGTTTTAAAGCGTTAGGTTTTATGGTTTTCTATTTCATTCAAAACCAAATATAAACTTCAGATTCTTTCTATTTTACAATGGTGAAATCAGGTTTAAAATACACAACAAATAAATTAATTTCATCAATATTTTATAGCAATTCCAAAACCATACTGGTGTAGAATTTACTGGATATGTGGCCTGGTTACAACAGTTAAAACATTATAAAGCAGCACAACTGCAGAAATGTTGATAATGATGCAGTGAGAATCTGTAATACTTTACCTAAATTGAGCTTCGAGCAACTGTTGCCATTAGTTCGTTTGTTAACTGCACATTTATATACATCCCCTGTTTGGAAATTCCCAGTGTTTTCATATGGCGCTCCCACTAATAACCTGCAAACACAGAGAGTTGATAGGTAAGAAATTTTGCTTAACAGACTTCATTTGCACAATAGTTTGTAAACAGTACAAGAGCACATCTCTCATTCATCCTTTTTAACAAACACAATATTTGTGCTATAACCAACTCTCTGAGGGAATATGACTAACCATTAAATTCAATGACCCACTCCAAACACCCAGGTCAACTCAGAAGATCTTAAACCTCTCTTTGTTTATTTATGCTGAGAAGCACAGGTCTCATATTCAAGGAGTCTTCCACAGAGTCACACCCAGCAGCCAGTGAGTGCAGCCAGTAACTCCTGCTTATCTACACAACGTTCTTTAAAAATCTCAAGAATATAAGGACTACGTTTTGGCTAGATATACGTGTGCAAGAAAAGAAGAAATTCTGTCAGTATGTACATGAGTAAAGGAGTATTACTCTTTTTCACAGTATCAAGTATGAATGGAAGTTAATGTCTAATAAGTACTTATTTAGTTAGAGCTCTTGGAAGTTTGAAGGCAAACTAAACACTATTATGCTCCAAACACCATACCTAAGCAATCTCCCTTGTATGTACAGTATAGACTGCATCAAGACTTATGGAGTTGGTGCATCTCCACATGGGAAACCTTAACCCACACTGGGCATATAGTAGCAGCCATTCAAAATGGCCCTTCCCAGTCAAATGCCAGCTGAATTACAGCCCAATGCCCTGCAACTCCCAGCATTATCCCCTGCATGAACCCAACATATTTTTTTACTCAGACTCCACCATTTCATTGATGTACAAGGTCTGACCGGGAAATGATGCTTCTCAATAGATCTTAATGTCCACTAATCATGACAGAAAGAATATTTTAGTACAAAGATTGATTAAAAGATTAAAAAGGAAAGATTAAAAAGGAAGTGTAGGGGACCAGCCAAGGGCCCATCAAGGAAAGTGGTGAAATTTTGAATGGCAACTACTGTAAATGAAACCTTATCTGCCCATGGTCATGCCACTGGTTCACTGTTTTTCATGTATATTGCCAGCTGTAGACAAGAAATACCCAATAAGTCCTACAGCTTTGTGGATCTTTAGACCAGGTTATCACAATTTGCCTCTTATCAGCCTCTAATGAGACTCACTGATATCCTTACTTTTCCTATTTTTATTATGGCAAGGTAACCTGTTATATAATATATATACCACCCACTAAAAGATACCCCGATGAAAATATAATTGGTAATCCCTTTACCTGTCAGCAGCCATGTTACTTCTATTTGTTTTTTATTATATATCTGTTTGCATAACTAGGGCATTAATTGTATTTGTAAAGTCTCTGACTATCCAGCCAGTTTTGTGATGTTTCGTTAAAATTGAAAGAAAATAACATTTAACCTCATGAAAACTATTAATGTAGATAAACCAGATGAATCCTGCTACAACAGACCACCATAGTATTTTCTTTATTTGATGGGTGGTGAACCTGCTTTCAGCATAAAATTCTTTTGTTTAAGATTCAGTCTGAGACTGGAGCAATAATAGGAAAACTACTAGAGATAGTAAAAAAGACTGTATAAGAAAACAGAATGATATTAGTATGTTCAAGTATGTAAGTTCAGCCCATCTTTGATATAAGAGGGGTAGGTTATCAAAGCTCAAAATGCATAAATAGTTCCAGCAGAGTGTCTGACTTCCCTGCCTATGAGGTGTATATTGTACTTACCAGAGAGACAGCAAGGAAAAAGAAACTCTCTTTTTTTTGGTTCATTTTTACCTTTAGCTCTCTGTAGAGCCAACCTGAGAGTAAAAGTTTAAACACCCTCTGACCAGGGTGTGTGGAATTGACTGAAATGTTAGTTGCTGTTTTTTTTGGTGATAGATGCACACAAGGTGCATGGTCAGAATAAATTATCATCTCTGAAACCAAATTCTTTGCTGCAGTTTGGACCTGTCCTGTTTTGAAGATGACTCAAACCACACAGACATGGATATATATTCATAACAGACTTAATGGTGGCAGTGTAGAAATTGACTTACATGTCTTAAGTGCAAGGTTGAGTGAGCCTTCTTTTGATCTTTTGATCTCAGAAAAAATGAAAAAAATGTAAATTCACAAATGTCAAAGTAAAGTATTGAATTTTAACAACAAAGCAAAGTTTAGTTTTAGCATGCAAGCTGAATTCTCTCTGTATTTGTGCATTCACAAACATGTGGGAATCCTGGCTGGCTGTACGCCACCGTCTGCTCTGTTTTAATCAGTCAGAGTGAACAGATGCACCTACCTCTCTGCTAATTACCCTTATTCTATACAACTAATCATGCCAAATAATACATGTCTTTCTCTGTCAGTCTCCACCAAATCATCTCCTCCATGTCTGCATGAGGTTCTTGCCTACCTGCAATCACTGCCTACCTTCCTGCCACCAGAGTATCATTCACTTCCTGAAAGCCCAACACTAACCTGCCAGCCATCATCTGTCTGTTCAAACCCTGCCAAGGCTATTATCTGCTTTCTCAAATCTGCTATCAGCCTGTTCTGTCTGTTACCAGCTGGTTCAGTTTAGCTTTAAGTCTGCCTGACACTTTTTCAGTTTACAAACTCTACATATATCTTTAATACACAACACATGTCTAGCTGGGTATCAACATCATTAACAGAGAAACAGCAATCCTAAGTTTTATCAGATCTGCTGCCATTTTCATTTGTTACATCATTTGGGATGGCCACATCGATCACTGCACCTTTCCTCTGCTGCTTGTCAATGATCACAATGTCCGGTTGGGTGGCCACAACTATTTTGTCTCTTTGTATCCAGAAGCCCCACAGGATGTTAGCTCTTTTCATTTGTTACCTTGAATGGCTAAAACAAAACAGTTAAGTCTCTTTCCCACTGAAAATTGTAACTTAACCGGGTTTTTTAGACATGGGTCGACCAGCCCACAACTAGCATTTGGCTCCCTTCCCACTGGCAACCAACCGTAGGTATCGTTTTGAGCCCCTTCTCCAGTGTCAGGGTTACTGTCCCAAGTGCTACATTGACCATGTGCACTGCAGTTGCTTCACTTTCCAGGCTCTCTCTCTAGTTCTTCCCTGAGGCCTTGGTTTACTGATGTTTCCATCATTTGGGATTGCCACATCCAAATGGATTAACTTTGCATGACAAGAAATGTCATTAAAGATGACAATCAAGAGCTGTACATACTTAAACTGTGCTGTACAATGAGGCTGTATCTTAACTTTTTTATAACTTTATCTAAAGGTTTTAAAGTGGTTACATAATAAGAAATGGCAGTTTTGGCACCAGAGAATGTTAAAAGAAAATTGAAAATTTTCAACAAGGGCCCTTCACAGAAAGACTTCACAGTGGTAGATTTTTCATGTATTTTTACAACCTAATATACGCAGGAGAGGCATTCTGCCAGATCAAGCAGGGCATGGTGAATGTTGCATAATGTATTCTTGGGAAATCTGAGTGTTTTGTTTAGACTGCAGCAAAGTGTAGGATACTGGATAAGGTTCCCCACTCATAAAGAGAATTAAGAGTGGAAGATTTTCCCTTGCATTAGCAGGGTGTTCCAGTCATTTTCTGCCGTTATGCCTACTAAACACACCAGCAAATTTCTGAGGTCTCTCACTCTTACAAAATGGTTATATTTTATTCAAAATGCTGCACAAATAGCTCATGCATTGAATGCATTGTTTCCTGACAGCAGAGAGACCCAATGATTGCCAGAGAAACATAGACATTGATGGAATGAATGACTGATATTATATGCTTAAGTTTTTAAATGGTTGGTTTACTCAAACAGTTCATCAGAGACAATCAAGCTTTGCATTATCCACTCTCTAGCAGATGATTTTGATCTTTAATTTCAGTAGGAGCTTGATACAGGATATATTTCCTTGAGGTTTAGTACTGGTTAGAGTTTGACATATTGCAGCAACAACAGAAGACAAGGGGAAATGTTCAAGCAGTTCATCACCAGACATCAAAGAGTGACTCACATGGAAGCGTGCATGAGTGTTATTGTTCGTGAAGCCAACATTTAAAGTCTCTCAGAATCTGGAAATCTTTTCAGCATTGTGGATTATTCAGTGCTCCTTTTTTCATTGCTATTAATATCTTGCTCATTACCTCAGTTATGGGTGTCTCTTATGATTCCTTAAGTTCATTTCAGGACATTTCTACCTCAATGAATTAAGCAGAAACTGTCCCGCCTTTGATTTAAATCTGATTTTATTGGAGGAAAAAACAGACATGTATTAACCGGGCAAAAATGCTACTCCAAAACATAACTTGGTCCAAAGTGAATGATGAACATTTTCTGTCATGGTTACCAGCAAACAGAGTATTTCTGGGGTTTGAGGAAGTGCCATCCTAAGCCCAGGCTGTCATTAATGTGGTCAACTTTTTCATACTTGGAGAGAGGAGCTGTATACGCTGTGAAACCACATCCCTGCCCAGAACAAGAGCTTTCTATGGCGTTGTCACGCTTGCTCATGACATTCCATTGATCTACATTAACAAGATAAGTCTTTTTTTTTGTCAATGCTGACTCTGAAACCAAGTGAATTGTGATGGGCCCGTTACTTTTTTCTAAAGACATTTATTTCAGCATTACTAGAATGCCTGGGAGCATCGAGTTGGCAGAGATGGAACTCATGATGCACTCAAATGCACATTTTGGTTACTGTAAACTGTTGGCCCCAGACAGACTTTTAGCCTTAGTTTTTTTCTTTGAATAAACATTTCTAGTCATATAATTACAGGCTCATTGGATGTATGGCCATTGAAAAGTACTGCAACATTTTTTCCGGAGGATGAATAAAGCTGGCACATGTACTTATGGTGCCCACAGAAAGAACATTACTGTCCCCATTAATTTCCCTGTAATTTGGCACATTCAGCATGTCAGATATTATTTGGACAAAATTTACATTTTCCATGATGATAAAACACATCGTTATTTAGAAAAAATGCTCAGAGGAACAGAGAAAATCTTTGCAAATGGCTTTGTATG